AAGGGGGCATTACGAATAGCATGTATAATGTGGGGGAGCACGGGGAGGACTGTGCAACACAGAGAAGACAAGTAGTGGTTCTACAGCATCTTACTATGCTGATGGACAGTGACTGTAATGGAGTTTGTGGGAGGGGACTTGGTGATGGGGGGAGTCTAGTAAACATAATGTTCCTCATGTAATTGTATTAATGATACCAAAAAAAGAAAAAAAAATTAAAAAACAGAGTTGCCAGCAATTCCACTCCAAGATAGCTACCTACCCAAAGAAATGAAAACAGATGTCCACACAAAAACCTGCATACAAAGGTTCACAGTAGCATTACTTAGACTAGCCAGAAGTGGAAACAACCCAAATGTCCAGCAAGGTTGAGGGAAGAAACAAAATGTGGTTTATCCACACAATGGATTATTATTCAGTCTTACAAAGTAATGCAGTACTGATACCTACTACAGCATGGATGAACCTGGCAAACATGTTCAGTCTAAGAGGACCACATAATTTATGATACCATTTATATGAGCTGCCCGGAATGGGAAAATTCCAAGACAGAAAGTAGATTGGTGATTGCCTAGAACCAAAGGGCGGAGCCAGGCAGGAATCGGGGAAAGACAGGGAGGGTGGAGTGTGATTGGCAATGGCTTCAAAGGTTTCTTTTTGGGGTGATGAAAATGTTCTAAAATTGGATTATTGTAATCATTGCAAAACTCTCTGCAGTAGTCCCCTGTATCTACAGGGGAATGTTCCACGATCCCCAGTGGATGCCTGAAACCATAGATAGTACCAAACCCTTCTGTGCACTGTTTTTTCTATATACACATCCATCCATCCATACCGATGATTAAGTTTAATAAATTAGGCACAGTAAGACATGAACAAAAATAACTAATGAAATAGAACAATTATAACACTATACTGTAATAAAAGTTATGTGAATGTGGTATCTCTCAGAACATCTTACTGTATTGTACTCACCCTTCTTGCAATGATGTGAGATGATAAAATGCTCCATGATAAGATGAAGTGAGGTGAATGATGTCGACATTGTGAGGTAGCCTATTGACCTTCTGATAACCTTTAGATGACCTTCAAAAGGAGGATCATCTGCTTCTGGACTGAGACTGACCCAGGTAACTGAAACTGTAGAAAGCAAAAACATGGATTAGGGGGACATAGATGGGTATATACATAGATGGGTGTATATATATATATATATACACACACATATCTACAGATGTAAAAGCCTTTATGTTATCTGCTTCAAATGGGCAAGTTTTATGGCTTATGTATCTCAATTAAGCTGTTTAAGAAATGGGAGTTACAATAGCACTGCCCTGGAAGGACTGTGTTGGGCATGAGTTAACATATCCAAGTGTACTGACAATAGTTCTTCCCATGCTGTGGGTCTTCAGTAAATTAGAAATCATTATTCCCTACTCTCCAGGGAAGGAGGACTAAAATCCTGTTGACTTTCTTACATGAAAGGATAATAAAGTGAAAAGAATTGTTCATTGACAAGCTTACCATGGTATTTTGATCATTTAGAAAAGCACAAATTAATATAGTTGCCACAGTAGTCCCTAAAAGTATTTGAGCACAGACAAGGTCATACTGGGGTCGCCCTTGTAATGTTCATCTGGACAAAATTTTAGAACACTGAGAATAAAAAGATCTCAGGTGCTTACAGAGAAAAAAAGCAGGTCACATCCAAATAAATGACCAGGAAACAGATGATATCAGGTATCAAATATAAAAAATATTAATGTATTAAATTGTAAAAAACAGAGCCAACAGGCCACAAATGGAGTTTCTTATGCTAAGTCCCATGTCACCAAACTGAGACTGAATTAGTTTCACTTTTGTAGTTTCAGCCTGATGGGCCCCAACCCCCTTTTATCATAACCCTTGTTCCTGTTCCTTCTGCCTGTGAAAGTCTTTCATCTTGTACGGCTCCTTGGAGCTGTGTCTGCTAGATCGGAGCTGCCCCTTCATGGACTGTTGAATAAAACCAACTAACATCTTTTAACTGTACTCAGTGCTGAATTTTGTTTTGTTAAGAAATGAAGAATAAGTATAAACTGATTTCTCCTTTTGCTTTAGGCTCAGTATGTCTTGGCACAGTTACCAATCCTGTCTTTATATAATAGTATTTTGTCTAGCATGACTTTTTTTTCCTGCAAGTTGGTTTTTAAAAACATTGCATTAATGACTTATTTATCTTTATTACATTTTGGCACTCCTTAAACTTTGGCCCGAAGGGACCTCGCCCTAAGAGTGTACTTCCCATTTCCCTTCCCTGTACTTTCTTAGTTACCATTTGTAATTTTTCTGATGTTACACTTTTAAGTTCTTTTTTTTTTCCTTCGACTTTGACAGTGTATCTTTATCTGTTCTGCAGGATGAGCTTTACTGTAACTATTTCGTAGTGATTTAAAACTTTTGCTCTGTTCTGTTCCCCTAAGTAGGACTTTGTGTAAGGCCACTCAACTTTAGTCTGTCTTTATTATTTTTCATATGCTTCCCAAAGACTTCTATTTCTCTGACTAGCCCTGGACTAGCTCTTGGGGGACAAAATTAATTAGTCCCCCGATTATGGGGAGCAGGGTTTTCATCCAGGAAATGCATTCTATGAGACCCCCCAAGGGCAGAATCTGAACCTCGCAAAGGAAGAAACAAACTCATTTTCCCAGGAGCAAGTCTCCCGGTTGTCTCAGACTGTGCTCACTGTATCCCTCAGAATCAATTCAAAAATCCAGATCACCGTGACTCAGCAAATCGCAGCCGGAAACAGTGCAGCCCTCTACATGCCCATCTTTGTCCACGCCCTTGCTTGCAAGGAGGCGACTTCCCAGGGCTGAGAGGTACCCGAAGGTCGCGTCCACCCCAGCCCGGGAGTCCACCTAGTGTCCCAGGTGGTTTCAGGATAGGGTCCGGATGCTCAGGCCTTCCACGCCCACCCAGACCCACGAGGCCCCTCTCGCCCCACCCCAGCCCCAGGGAGTCCCTTCTTCCCTGGACGGTGTCCCTACTCCAGGCCCAGCCCACGCCCTCCTAGAACTGAGCCCCAGTGGGCTCCGCCCTTGCTGGCCGCCCAGCTCCAATGGGCCGGGCGACAACACGGCATAAAGCAGCAGGTACCCTGCCAACAGAACCCCGCCGCCTCCCAGCTTGCAGCCTGCGCAGTGCGAGGACCTTGCCCGCCACCAGCGTCGCCTTGGCAACCAGCAGCCCAGTCAATCAGCGCGCCACCGCCGCCGCCGCCCTGGCTGGTGAGTTCCTGGCTGCATCCCCCAGGCCTCGCTAGTCCATAGGAGCCTGTGGAGGCTTGGCCCTGAGTTTTCTGCCTTGACTTCAAACTGAAAAAGTGCAGGCATTAGGGTCCCAGCTGAGCCTTGATGAGACGCGGCAGAGGGAAGCTCCTGTTCCTACCCCACCCCAAGCTCGGGTGGGCCTTTTGGAGAGGCTTGACTTTGGAAGCAAAAAATTCCCTCCAAAACAGGTTGGAAACCAGCCCACAGAGGCCAAATCTGGCCCACTGGGGCACCGTGTTTGGCCTGATAGTATTAAAAATATTTTGGACTTGGTTGCTAATATTTAAAATAAGGCATGCTTTCACTTAGGAATGTGGATTCCCAACTTGTGAAGAAAAATTGGGCAGTCTAGCGATGATGGACGGGCTGGACAGAGACCAGCCTCAGCGCAGGCTCCCGGTCAGGAGACATTTTCCACTGTGATCCGTGAATTGGGCGAACCTGATCAGGGATTAGGTCCGTCCCAAGTGGCAGAGCCCCCCCTCTGCACCATCCACCTGAGGGGACCTCAGGTCACCACGACTTTTTCTGTTGCATGAACTAAAGTATCTCAACTAGCTGCAGTCCCTGCGGGGGCCAAGAGCTCTGCTTTCCAGAGAGCCTCATGCCAAGACTGGATGGTGCTAAAATTTAGAAAGCCTTTTCCTCCGCTGGGGCGGAACTCTGCCTTTTTGTAGCTTCCTTCCCTCGGAACCTAGTTCTGCCCTCTGAAGACACACACACACAGACTCTCATCTCCCTGAACATAGTGGGGGCAAGAGATTGCTGTTGCAGCGGATGAACTACAGTTAGAAAGCCTGAGCTGAGGATGGGAAGCCCAACCAGTGTTTCCAGAAGCCTTGAGCAGAAGCATCTGAGACAGATGGCAGGGTAGCTGGCAAGGCTTTCCGCATGCATGTTAGAGGCTGTTTTCCTCCACTTCATTCCTTAGCAACGCTGAGGGCACCGCATCTTCCCCTCTGTTACTAGGGCAAGATCTACTTCCTGAATGTCCCAGTCTTACAGAATGCTTGTACTTATGTGTAACTTGGACCCCCCCCCCACCAAAAAAAAACAAGTGAAGAAGGTGGGGGGGTAAGAGAAAATGAGATGATCTGGATCTTGTATAACTAGTATTGGCTGAACCCACCTAACCAAATCTTGAGGTTCACTGAAGCATCTAGTGCATTTATTTGCAACTAACAGATGCATCTGACTTGCATGCATGTTCCTTGAGAAAGCCAGTGAACCCAGAGGGCAAAGCACAGTGCAGTAATTTGAGGGCCTGCCCTTATTATATTTTTAATAGGTTTTCCTTGGTTGCTAATTACTCTTGCCAAAACAATCAGATGGGTACTCTTGTTAAACAGACCGACATACTTTACCTTGCAACAGTGCACCACGATCCCTTTGTCTCTGCCACCTTTATTTGTTTTGTCATCCAATTCTATGTTGATCATCAGAGAAAGGGCAGTTCTGACAGTATAGTTTAGTCTGGAAGGTTAGTGAAAACTCTGGGTTTCAGAGTGGCCTGAGGCTGAAGGCAGAATTGTAGAAATGCCAGAACAATAGATGAGGACAGAGGGCAGCTCCTAAGAAACCACCAGAGTGTAGTACGCTCATGAACAGAAAGATTTGTGTCTGTTTTGTACACTGATGTATCCCAAATGCCTAGAGCAGTGCCTGGTACACAGACGGTGCTCAGTAAGTGGCCAAGAGGATGGGTTAGTGAGAACAGGAGCATTTCAGAGGGAGAAAGAAAGTGGATGCGTGGGGGGCAGCGGTGTGGACATGCGGTGAAATTGCAGCCGTAGGATGGTGGGGAAGGACACAGAGAAGTAAGGGTGAGCTGGGAGAACATTTCCTAGAATTGAGATTTGAATGTGAAGCAGCACAGGGAGAGAGAGGCATTAACAACCCCATCCTAAGCTGTGTTGGATGTGGTGGCTTCTATTAGATAAATGACATTCCTGATAAGCAGAAATGAAGGTTAAATTGGAGGTGCTGATGATAATCCCATTTGTCTCTCAAGACTCAGCTCAAATGGCAGCTCCTGAAAGCCTTTCCTAATCAGCCCGGAAGTGACCGTTCTCCTCTGCGGAACTTTGTCCCCTGCCTCTCCTGTCAGGCTAATGCCATTACTTATTTGTGTATTTGTCTTCCTGCCTTTCTAGGGCAAATTCTGAGAGTCAAACTTGTAGCTAGTTAGGTGACAGGAAGGGAAACTGAGCCCTCCAAGTCCAAACTCTCACGTCTGCCCGTGAAGAATGACCTGGGAAGGAGTGACTCGGGATGATCATGTTTGGGTTGTAAATCTCTATTTAACCTTTACCTCTGGCAAAAAGCTTCACCATTCTGTCAATTGCCTATTCATAACCTTTGACCATTTTTCTCCTGGGTTGTTTTTAGGAATCTATGTTTTCCAGATACTGAACTTTGTTGGTTATATTTATTACAAATATATTCTTCCTATTCATGTCTCCTTTTACTTTATTTTTGAAGATAACAGGCACACCCGTAGCCAGATAGTGAGCTCCTTGAAATCAAAGGATAGACTTTCTCATTTTCTGTGACACGCATGCCTTCACATTTTAGTCTTTAGGAAATGCCTGTTAGTAATGATAAGAAGTAAAAAATACATATGCAGTTGACCCTTGAACAACATGTGTTTGAAGTGAACGGGTCCACTTATATGTGGATTTTTTCAATACCTTTGTTGGAAGATTTTTTGGAGATCTACAACAGTTTGAAAAAACTCACAAACCATGTAGACTACAAATATCAACAAAATTAAGAGAAAGCTAGGTGTGTCATGAATACATAAAATATATGTGTCTATTTTATCATTTACTATCATAAAACCAACAGTAGGCTATTAGTAGTTAAGCTTTAGGGAAGTCAAAATTATACATGGGTTTTTTGACTGCACAGGGGTTGGGGTCAGTTCCCCTAATCCCCCACCCCTGTTGTTCAAGAGTCAACTATAATTTGATAAGAAACCTAGAGAAGAAAAATTGACATCAATAAACATTGATGTGACTGATGCAAAGGTAAATCACAAAATGCTTGTCAGAGCTTAATATACTCACATTTCTCCCTAGAGTAAATCCACGCGCTGGTAAGAAAGGGGGATTTGTTGCAGCAGCCTCAGAACCTCCTCTCCCTTTTTCCAGGGCGTCCAAAGCACCTAAATCCTCATCAAACTTCTATTCCACCGAATCTGAGTTCACAGAGCCTGACACCTTCCTTTTTGGCTCACAGGGGCGGGAAGCTCACCCCAGCTGCGTTTGACCCAATAGTCTGCGTGTGCCAGCTGTGGTTACTAAAAAACGCAGGACGGGAACTCAAGGCTCAAAATGTGCCTTTCTACTGATTTTTCTCCAAACAGAAAGGTTGCAGGTGCTTCCCTCCCAGCTCCACCCCTAGTCACAACTGCTGGGAGTTAGTAAGGTATGAAAGAGTGGCCGCGATGATTAGGAGAAATGGCGGTGGTAAACTTCTTTCTCTGGTACTCCTCCCGCTCCCTGCACGCTGCCAGATGGATCTATCTATGTCTATGTATTTTTTTAAAGTATTCCAGCTTCACCACTTCCTATGTAAACTTGGGTAACTGGCTTAACTTTTCTGTGCCTCAGTTTTCTCATTCTTAAAATAGGAATACTAAGTGTAACCACCTGGTGGAGGGGGGAGTTGCCATGACAATTGAAAAAAGAAAGCGCGGCCGGCTGGACAGCAGTACTCACCGGGCGCTGTTATTGCAAAAGTAAAGCACACTTGTTCCAACAATTTCATTCATAGAGAAGTGGTCCAAGGAGAAATCTTTCTCCTCTGTCTCTACCCCTTTGCCATCTCTTACCTAAGAAAACTACTAACAGTTTCATGTGACAATCCCACATCCTATTTTCTCGTAGCAATATATTGCAAATCTACCTACATGCAGTTTCTTTCTTTCATTTTGTAAAAGTGGACTCACATTCACTTCATTTGACCAGTTAACAATATATCATAGATCTCTTCCTGAGTGACTATGTATAGTAACTCATTCTTGGTCAGAGCTATTCCATGCAGTGATATTCCATAGCGTGCATGTACCATAATTTATTGAAATATTCCCCATAAACAGAGAATCTAATTTTGGCCAATGAAAAGAATGGTCAGTAACACATCTGACTCGTATGTCCTTATATCTTGATGTTTTTAGTCTGTACAACAGATTCGCCAAAGTTAGAGAGCTAGACCAAAGTTTGATGTGCCTGTGAATATTTAAGAGATTCAGCCTGCTTACTTTCCTCAAAGACTAAGGCGATTCATATTCCCACCGGCAATGTGCCAGTTTCCCTGCAATCTTAATAGCCCTCAGTGTTGCTTGTCTTACACCGTTTTGCCAATCCAACAGGAAAATAGTGATAGCTCATTTTAATTAGCTTTTCCTGACAGGTCAGGCTGGGCACTTCCTCCTTTGTTTTTGTCATTTGCATTTCCTCTTCTGTGAATAGTGTGCTCATATCCTTATTTTTCTATAACCTTGTCTGTTTTTTCCTAATCATTTGGGGACTTTCTTGGGGAGCTGAACTCTTTGTGATAAGAGTTAAGGATATCTTCCAGTTGATTGTGTTTTGACTTTATTTATGGTGCTTTTCGAGAAACACAACTTTTTGATTTTTATGTGGCTTTATCTGTCAAGCTTCTCCTTTATGGTTTGACTCTTTCGTCTTTCTAAACAATATTCTGTATCCTGAGGCTATACAAATTCTTTCCTCCCATATTCTAGTGATTTTGTTCTTATTTCTTATAGTTTTTTCCTGAACTTTAATTTTTTTAAATTGAAATATGGTGGATATAAAATATTAGCTTAGTTTCGGGTGTACAACATAGTGAATTGACAATTACATACATTGGGAAATGCTCACCATAAATGTAGTTACCATCTACCACCAAAGTTACTACAGTATTATTGACTGTATTCCCTAGGCCGTACTTTTCATCCCCATGACTTACGCATCTTATAACTGTCCTTCTTTATCCCCTTCATCTATTTTGCCCATCCTCCTACCCCTCCCCTATGGCCATCACTAGTTTGTTCTCTGCATCTGTGAGTCTTTCTTTTTGTTCATTTTACTTTTTGAGATTCCACATATAAGTGAAATCGTATGCTGTTTGTCTTTATCACCTTTTTCACTTAGCATAATATCCTCTAGGTCCATCCATGTTGTCACCGATGACAAAGTCTCAGTCTTTCTTATGGCTGAGTGACATTCCAATATATATAACATATATACCACATCTTCCTTATCCATTCATCTTTAATCGGCACTGAGGTTGCTTCCATATCATGGCTACTGGAAATAATGGTGCAATAATAGTAGGGGTGCATATATCTTTTCAAATCAGTCTTTTTGTTTTCTTTGGGTAAATATAATGATTTCATTTTCCTAAATGTGGATCTTCATCTTCCTGGAATGTATTGCTATATGCAGTATGTTAGTGGGAGAGTTAAAAACAAAGTTTTTTATTGAATACATTAGAGATATACTGAAAAGTGCAAAAGTTGTAAGTGAATTTTCACAAACTGAACACATACTTGTGTGGTCAGCACCCAGATCAAGAAATAGTTTTTTTCCTGAACTTGAATTTTTAAAAATTGAAATATAGTGGATATAAAATATTAGCTTAGTTTCTGCCCACACACTGAAAGCCCCTTCTTTGTGTTTCCAGTCGTTACCTCTTTTTTTTTTTAATTGGACTATTTTTTTATTGTGGTGAAATACACACAACCTAAAATATGCCATGGGAGCCATTTCAAAGCACACAATCAAGTGGCACGAAGTCCATTTGCTATGCTGTACATTCATCACCACCTTCTAGCTCCAGAACTTTTTTCATCAAATCCTGTACCCATTAAGCAGCCACTCCCTGTTATCCCCTCCTCCCAGCTCCTGGCAACCACTAATCTGCTTTCTGTCTCTATGGATTTGACTGTTCTGGATTTTTTTTTGGTGGGGATATCATTAATATACAATTAGATGAGCAACATTGTGGTTAACTAGACTCCCCCCATTATCAAGTCCCCACCACATACCCCATTACAGTCACTGTCCATCAGTGTAGTAAGATGCCATAGAATCATTACTTGTCTTCTCTGTGCTATACTGCCTTCCCTGTGCCCACCCCCCTACATTATGTGTGCTAATCGTAATGCCCCTTTTTCCTCTTCACTCCCTTCCCTCCCATCCTCCCCAGTCCCTTTCCCTTTGGTAACTGTTAGTTCATTCTTGGGTTCTGTGATTCTGCTGCTGTTTTGTTCCTTCAGTTTTTTCTTTGTTCTTATACTCCAGATGAGTGAAATCATTTGGTACTTGTCTTTCTCCACCTGGCTTATTTCACTGAGCATAACACCCTCTAGCTCCATCCATGTTGTTGCAAATGGTAGGATTTGTTTTCTTCTTATGGCTGAATAATATTCCACTGTGTATATGTACCACTTCTTTTTTATCCATTCATCTACTGATGGACACTTAGGTTGCTTCCATTTCTTGGCTATTGTTAAATAGTGCTACGATAAACATAGGGGTGCATGTGTGTTTTTTTTTATTAAGGTATGATTGATATACACTCTTATGAAGGTGTCACATGAAAAAATAATGTGGTTACTACATTTACCCATATTATCAAGTCCCCACCCATACCCCAATGCAGTCACTGTCCATCAGTGCAGCAAGATGCCACAGATCCACTATGTGCCTTCTCTGTGCTACACTGTTCTCAGTTGTTACCTCTTGATTACGTAATAATAACCACTCTACTGACTTCTAATACCTTGTATTAGTTTTCTAGAGGGATAATTTTATTTTCACATAGATGGCCGATTAAGTAAGCCAACACCATTGATTAAATTATCTATTGTTTTCCCCCTACATTAAAATGCTTCCTTTATTGTTTGGTACTTTTAAGGAGGAAATACTTTTCTGGAGGCAATGGATGGACTGCATAACCCAAAATTTAAGAGAGTTGCCTCTCGTTATGGATCCTGGCTTGGCTCCCCTGCAGCCAAAGCTCTGCTGGTTGGTGACTGATTTTCTCCATATGCCTTGTTGTCTAAATATTTAGCCAGAAAAGCACTGATCGTACTGGCCCACCCAGAGAGGACATCCTTCAACTATGCCATGAAGGAGGCTGCTGTAGAGGCTTTGAAGAGCAAAGGATGGCAAATCACTGTGTCGGACTTGTATGCCATGAACTTCAATTCTGTCATCTCCAGAAAGGACATCACAGGTCAGGGGCAGCTCCCCCGCCTAATTAGGTCTTTGTGGAACTCCTCGCCTGTGGGTTCTCTGGCCCAGCCTTGGCCCCTCTGGCTTCAACCTCTCTTTTTCCTCTCTGCAGGTGAGCTGAAGGACCCCGGGAACTTCCAGTATCCTGCTGAGTCTGCTCTAGCTTATAAAGAAGGCCGTCTGAGCCCAGATATTGTGGCTGAACAAAAGAAGCTGGAAGCTGCAGACCTTGTGATTTTTCAGGTGGGGTAGGACATCAGAAGGGGTGTGAGACACTTGTTTTCTTAATGTCCTAGACCTGTCTCTTAATTAGCTATGTGATCTTAGAAAAGTCACTTCTCCACTTTACTGCATTCTTTATAAAGGAGGAGGATTACTTCAAAGGTGCAGTATCACATGGACTTACAGATATTGTGAATCTGGCTGGATTATTCTTTGAAAATACGAATGTGACTGCCAAATGCCATGTGAGCCTTGAGAGCTTTATTCCCCAGTGTGTTTAATCTTTTCTTCAATCAGTGATTCCTCATAGAATCTCTTAAAAGTTTGCAATTTTCCCCCTCTCTCCGGAAGCAATTGAATGGTTTGTGGAGTGATGCACGAGAAATTGACCTTTCTGCCAGCCAAAGTGTGAGTGCCCCGCTTAACATGTTTCAGCCGGAAACCGAGTCCTTTTCTCTGCTGGAAGTTGCCTCACCATTACTGCCATCAGGAGTGGAAATGTGTATGCTTTTTGTCAGTTCTCTTGCCTGAAAATGCTGACTGCACTCAATGACTTTGCTTCTACCAATTCTAAACAGCTTTTTGATGTTAACATGGAACATATAGACACTGGAAACTTCCCAGGAAGGGTCATACAGGCTGTGGTTTTTGCAATTATTCCGTCAGCTGCAAACAATCCCACCTTTGAAGTCTTTCATTCTACCCCCAGGTCTGCTGCTATGGATCAAAGCTACATGCCCTTAGCCAGGACCATGAAGGACACCTTCATTGGTCCACGTTTTCTACTGCATCTTATCCTAGTGCAGCTGAGGCAGAAGCAGTGGAAACTTTCAGTGTGCATCTAAGAACCACTATGTTGTAGACTTGGAAAGGACCTGTGGGGGCTTTTAATTTAGCTTCTGTCCAATGCCTAAGTTTTCTTTACTCTCCGTACAGCTGTGCAGGTCGTGTGCTGCAAAATAGCAAAGTAAACCCTGCAGATGTATTTAGAACAGTTTCCTGACTGATGGCAGGAAAGTCTCATTCTAGAAAAATCAGTGTCCTTTGTATGACAGTCTTTCAAATGGAAGTGTCCTGAGGAAGGAAGGCTTTAAATTCACATCAAGGTGCCAAGTGGGCTCACCCCCTGCCCAGCTTCTTTACTGCAAGAACAGCTTGAGGGAGCGGGTGGGGGGTAGCTTTACACTCTGCAAGCGGAGCAATTCTATTTTCAGCTCTGACTGTATAACACTCACAAAGGGCCAGATCTACTTGTCTAAACAACCTACACATCTATCTTAACACCCGCACCTCTGGCCCCTCACAACTGGAGAGCCATAAATGCGAATCTGTGAGAAGCCACTAGAGACCGCTCAAGTCCCCCTTTTTGTAAATGAAGCACATGAAATTTATAGATTTGAGGCTTGTGTGGCAAAGGTCATGCATCAAATCGGGCAAATTCCGCGTAAGAACACACATCTCGCTCAATCCTGTTCCTTTTGTTCTAAAACCCTACCCCTTGGACCGTTTCCTGTAGGTCAGCAACCCTTCAAACATTGGAGAAAGCAATCAAATCCTCCAAACTCCTTGTTGTTTTTCTTTTCCCCCTCCGGGCATGTTCCAATTGTCATTGGTTTTAAACCATGAGTCAGGGAGAAGAAATACTGGCGTGGTCCTAATCCTTGCTCTGCTTTTATCAGGACAAGAGGCCCAACACGATTTTCTCATGGGAAGTCCTTGTTAAACCTTAGTCACAAATGCATCAAATCGGGCAAATTCCGCGTAAGAACACACATCTCGCTCAATCCTGTTCCTTTTGTTCTAAAACCCTACCCCTTGGACCGTTTCCTGTAGGTCAGCAACCCTTCAAACATTGGAGAAAGCAATCAAATCCTCCAAACTCCTTGTTGTTTTTCTTTTCCCCCTCCGGGCATGTTCCAATTGTCATTGGTTTTAAACCATGAGTCAGGGAGAAGAAATACTGGCGTGGTCCTAATCCTTGCTCTGCTTTTATCAGGACAAGAGGCCCAACACGATTTTCTCATGGGAAGTCCTTGTTAAACCTTAGTCACACTGATCACGTGTTTGCATATGTGGTTCTATTCATCTCAGTGATAGGATTTCACATCCCTGAGCACAAGGTATGTATTTTTGTTGTCACACCTACCAAAGTAAGCTCTTGAGAAAATATTGACTTTGGCATCACACATCAAAACGAACTCCGCAATACTGGCTGTTTAGACTTCTCTGGAAACAAATCATAATTACATGTGCCTTTCTTCAGACCCACCCAGATATTCCTATCTTCTGGCAGAAACAGGAGTATCACGTTGACAGACCAGGGACAATAATGTTCTTTAATATGCCAACTCCTCCAGAAGGAATGGCAAGAGCCTGAAGAAAGGAGTGCCCTTCGGTGACGTCATGGGCAGTGGCTAAGCGCCCCAAGCCTTCTGCTGAGCTGGGGTGCCCCCATCTGACCTCTCTGTTCCCTGTTTCTCAGTTCCCACTGCAGTGGTTCAGCGTGCCTGCCATCCTGAAAGGCTGGTTCGAGCGAGTGCTCATAGCGGGGTTTGCTTACACATACGCTGCCATGTATGACAAGGGACCTTTCCAGGTAGGTGCATGGTTCTGCTTTTTCTAACAGCTGGATTCTGGGTAGATTCTGTCCTGAGGCAGAGTTTTTGAGCATGATTAGGCTTCTTGTCGTTTGAGACAGATGCATAATAAAGTTTTTACAGCTATTTTGATGTGATATTTAGGATTTGCTTTAAAATACCCTGAGAAAAAAGGGGGAGTGAGGAAAAGATAAAATTAGAATGGCAAAATACTGAGAGTTGGAACTGGCTGGTGGATTTTCTCTTACATATGTTTGAAACTTATCATTATAAAAATAAAGTCTGTCTTAATTTTTCAGAGACCCAAATACTACACAAGACATTTTGAGGTCTTCTACATTATGTGCCTAGATACATGGCTAGCACTGTGTGGACACAGATAAAAACAACAAATAACCCCACCTAGGCAGCAGCACGCCCTATTTAGCATTACCGTCATGATCGGTAGCTGGTTTGCCACACCTAGGAGTGAGGAATCCTGGGCTGGCCCCGGCTGCCTGTCTGTACCAGTCTCAGGCTGCTATTTCTGCAGAGTCACACTGCCGGCTCAGAGGAGCTAATGTTTGAAGTGACACAAACAGAGGGGTGACTTGTGAGTTCTTCTCCCTGGGGCTGTTTCATTAGCTTCCTGTCTCCAAGGAGATGAGGGTAGTGCTTCTTTTACAGAATAAGAAGACTGTGCTCTCCATCACCACCGGTGGCAGTGGCTCCATGTACTCTCTGCAGGGTGTCCACGGGGACATGAACATCATTCTCTGGCCAATTCAGGTGCCTCATTTTCAATGAGCCTTCAGGGGTTAACTAATTGAGTTTTCTATGGAGTCCAGATCCTCAAGGTAGCAGCTCAAGAGACCTGAGGTGTGAAGATGGAAGCACTGGACTGATTCAGAACTACAGGGAGATTCCTTTTAGGACTTATCTGTCCTCCCAGGCCCCTGTACTTAGAGAATAACTCACATGTGCACATGTCCAAATGCCACTGTCTCCTAGCCAAGGACTAGTGCAGATGACCCCTGGGTTCGTCTAGCCAAGTGCCCAATTCTCTCCAGATAACTGACATCTCTCCAATCTTCCCATCCTCCAAGTTGCTGCTAGTCTCAGACTTATCAGACCCAAGAAAACTTAGACGATTTAGTCCAGCTAATAAAACTGAAGTCTAAGTAGGCTTTTTGGTGGTCACTCAACTCTGAATCTCAGCCTTCTAAGGATTCTGAATTGCAGAGAAGAGCAGATGAGGTGGCCACCTAGTTTTGGAGAATTCATACTCATATTGGAGAATGAATGGTAAGAATGATTTATGAAGGCAAGTCTAGTTTGAGGGAAAACCAGAGAAATGCACACCTTTATGCCTTGGCAGAGTCCGCTGCCAGGAAGCTAAAACTCTCCCTTCTGTAAAAAAAAACTTCCGGTGCCTTTAGCAGAAGATCCCAGACTGGCACAGGTACAAGGTTTTGTTCATTTAAATAACAGCAGAGCTAAATAGGCTAAAATAGGGAATAGCTAGATATAGAGAACAGAAAGGTGAGAGAAGAAAGCCATGAGTGGATCCTCCGGGTGCATCAGGCCTCCACAACAGAGAGAGGGAAGCCAGGCTTAGCTTTTATTGTTCACATTTGGTACAAGCTGCATACAGTTTGTTCTGTGACTCACCTCTGTGCTTTATGTGTCCCCAGAGCGGCACGCTGCATTTCTGTGGCTTCCAAGTCTTAGAACCTCAACTGACATACAGCATTGGGCACACTCCTGCCGATGCCAGAATTCAGATCCTGGAAGGATGGAAGAAGCGCCTGGAGAATATTTGGGATGAGACACCACTGTATTTTGCTCCAAGTAGCCTTTTTGACCTAAACTTCCAGGCAGGATTTGTAATGAAAAGGGAGGTGCAGGATGAGCAGAAAACCAAGAAGTGTGGCCTTTCTGTGGGCCATCACTTGGGCAAGCCCATCCCGACTGATAACCAGATCAAAGCCAGAAAGTAAAATGCACAGGACTTCCTTCCTTCTAAAATGTAACCAAATCTATTGTTCTTTTCAAGCTTGACTTAATTTAGTTTTTAAGATTTGTGTTTTACTTTCTCCATGAGGAATGAAAAGGAGAGAGAATAGACTGTATTCATACCTTTTTGGATAGTTCTATTAAAAGTAACATTCTTACGATTGCTATGGTGGCAAAAGCTGATTAGGCTCTACAGGCCATTGAAGACAAAGTAGAAAAAGATAGAAAGATGCCAGGCAATCCTCTTTAAGGTCCTCCACACAATTTAACTCTTTTGAGGGATAAATTTTTTTAAAGCTGAATCTGTCTAGACACATCCAACTCTTCAATGATCTATTTTTCTTTTAATTATCTCTCTGTGGTTTATGGCAGAAGGGAATTAATTGCTCGAAGAAATGACTGAATCTGACCTAAGGGACTTGTTTAGTAGTTACTAATCTATGCTTTGTTGTGATGTATATTGGCTTTAATTACAACATAGTGACTAATACGCCTGAGTGTGACTCTTCCTTCAACTTTCGTTTGCATATAGTACAGATATCTGGAAAAGCTAATGAAAGTCTCTTTACCTCAATCTTCTAACTTACTGTCTACAGAAATAAACCAACACATCTATACACCACACCTGCTACAGTGAATGAATTCAACTAAGGAAAGAGTAAACATAGTGACTAATACGCCTGAGTGTGACTCTTCCTTCAACTTTCGTTTGCATATAGTACAGATATCTGGAAAAGCTAATGAAAGTCTCTTTACCTCAATCTTCTAACTTACTGTCTACAGAAATAAACCAACACATCTATACACCACACCTGCTACAGTGAATGAATTCAACTAAGGAAAGAGTACTTCCAATGCTTAAACAGTCTGCCACAAACAGTACTTTATTTCTGATCTATACAACCATCTAGAAGTTTTTTTTTCTGTATCATAGCTAAACTGATCACTTTCAAGGATGTGTTTCAGTCCCATGATACTTGGGATAGAATCATAAGCCTAGAGGTTTCATCAGCTTTGGTGAGCAATTTTGGCATAATACTCCAACTTCCCATTTAATGACTGAAGTCCATCTCTACTCACTGCTGGTGTATACAGATGTACCTCGGATGGTTGGCAGGTTCGGTTCCAGACCACTGCAACAAAGCAAGTATGGCAATAAAATGTGTTGAATGTTTGTTTCCCAGTGCATGTAAAAGCTATGTTTAGACTATTCTGTAGTCTGTTAAGTGTGTAATAGCATTATGTCTAAAGAGACAATGTATATACATTAAAAAATAGTTCATTGCTAAAAAAGTTAACCTCCCCGTGTGAGCTTTCAAAGAGCTGTAATCACAGATCACCATAACAGAGTTACCAAATGTGGCAGTGTTACCAAATGTGCAAGTTACCCAAACGTGGCAGAGACACGAAGAGAGCAAATGCTGTTGACAAAATGGTGCAGACAGACTTGGTCCATGCAGGTTTGCCACAAACTTTCAATTTGTGAAAACATGCAACAGCTGCGAAGCGCAGTAAGGCGAGGTCGCTGTGATTCAAATAGAATAGTGATGAAGACCGCCCTCTTGTGGCGCACTGAAAGCAAACGTGAGAAAGAATGCAAAGCAAGGTTGCCAAAACCTGGGAACAGCCTCACACCTGCCAAGGAAACAATGGTGTCAGGCTGGAGAACCTCGTGCCAGATGCCTACAGGCACTGGGTATTTTGTCCCCCTTCAATAGCCACAATGGCAGATGGCTGGGTGCTTCTGTTTGAAGATATTTTGTTGCCTTCACCCTGTTTTGTGTAAATTTCTGAACTATCCAAATGAAATAAAATTCACTTCTATGAACAGACCCACACTGATGGTTTCAGTGAGGCTAGTTGGAGGCATTCAGGCAAAGTGGAATCTACTAGGGAAGCCAGGACCAGAGCACACAATAATAAATTATGGCCAGAAGCCTGTAAGGCTTGAGATCTCACTCAATAGGTCTTGTTTCATACTGAACAGTAATGGCACAAACCTATTAAGATCCTTTCAGGGACGCTGAAGGACATTTAAAGAGATCCAGGAAAGGAAATCAAGAAAAACATGGACTGCAGAGGGCAAATGCCAAGGGCAGTATTTATTCTGATTAATCTAATCAGTGGGACAGGCACTCTTCTGGCACTGGAAATACAGCAAGGAGCAAAACAAAGTACCTGCTTTCATGGAGTTTGCCTCTAGTGAAGAATGATACCAGTATATCAGATGGCGATAAATGCTAGGAAGAAAGAGCAGGGTAAGAGGGTTAGAAGTGGGATAGAGTAGTTTGTTTTATACAACGTGACCAAGAGAGACGTCTTCAATAACTACATGTGAGCAAAGACCTGACAAAGTGAGAGTGAGACGTATGGAGACTCTTGAAGGAAGAGCACTCTAGGAGTGGTCAGGCAGCAGATCCTTGAAGGACCATGCTTAGCATGTTTGAGGAAGAGAAAGGAAGTGTGACTTAAGCAAAGGAAGAGAGGTCGAACACACAGCTGGTCAGATCCTTACGAGCACTGAAGAATGTAAAGACAGGAAGTCACTGGAGGGTTCTGGCTGGCATGTGAGGAATCAGGTGTAAGTGGCAATGAGGAACACGGAGAATCCTGGGAAGCCCTTGTGACAATCTAGGCAGCAAATGCTTTTCACCAGGTTGAAAGGGAAATAGTCTTCAGAAGAGGTTGGAGTTCTGGAAATATTTCAAAGTTCAGAGCAACAGAGTTTGATAATGGATTGGATCTAGGTGAAATTAGAAAACTCAAAGGTATCTTGGCTTAAGCAACTTTAAGAAGGGAGATTCTATTTGCTAAGAGGAGGAAGAATCTGGAAAGAGTATTAAGGCCAGGAGTTGGGGGTGGAAAGGGTGGACTCAAAATTTGATTTCAGATGTTATGTTTGAGATGTCTAGTCTATTAAGGTTTTCAAGTAGGCAGTTGGATAACAGGAACCTGGAGTTAAGGGAGAAGTTATGGCTTGGGGATACACATTTGGGAATCTTCAACATACAGGTAGTATATAAAGCAAGATAACTTGATGATATCACCTAGGAATTAAGTTATGATAGAGAAGAGATCTGATGATTGGCCCCTAGGGCTCTCCAGTGTTCAGGGGTCAAGAAGACGAGAATGAAGAAGTGGTCAGTGAAGCAGCAGAGCCAAGTGCGGTGTCCTGAGAGCCAAGTGAGGGAAGTGCTTCAGAGAGCAATGACCAAGTGTGTCAGATACTGCTGATACACCAAGTGAGGTGGGCCTGAGAAGTGACCTTTGGAATCAGCCATTTGTTAGTTACAGGTGATTTTGACAAGAGCTATTTCAGTGGAGTGGTGTGATGAAGGCCTGATTGGAATGGGCTCAAGAGAGAATGTAGGGGAAGTGCAAATAGTGCATAGGGGGATGCGTGGTCAAAGACAGCTACTTAATTTTTAAGAGACAAGAGACATTATAGCAATTTTATATGCCAGTGGGAATGACTCAGAAAAGATTTTGATGTTGGAGAAAGAGGACAATTAAAGGTATATGTCTTTGAAAGAGCAAAAGGATACTGGATATCCAGTGCACGAGAGACAAAAGAGCAGAGTAGAATCAGGACTATGAATACTAATACAAAGTTTACTGTGTGCCAGGAACTAAGTAATTTTACATGGATTAATTTACATAATTCCTGCAACAACCCTAAAAGGAGGGTTGAATTTTTGTTTCCACCTTATAGATATGGAGATTGAGGAATGAAGAGGTTAAATAGTAGGGGTAGGAGCCAGAATTCCACCCAGGCAACTGAATTCAAGAGCCTATGCTTTTAAATACTGTTTTATATTGCCTTGGTAAAAGCAGGGACCACAGCACCAAGAATAGAGCACAAGAGTAGCAATCAGCACCTCTTCCTGAGAGTAAGACCATTACAAGTTGTTGAGAAACTAGATGCATTTGTTCTTCTAGAGCCCGTTGTGCTCTGAGCAAGGATAGATGATGTTCCAGTTCTTAACAGGCCTCATCATATGGCTGCTGAGATTCTGTTTGCTCCTTACAAGAGGACAAAGCAGTACTCCGACTAGCTTGGAGTAAAGCGGGACAACTACCTCTCTTGTTCTGGAAACTGTAACTTAAACTATGTCACCCAGGATTGCATCAGCTTTGTAGGCGGTCACTTGTAGCCCAATCTTTGGATCAATCTTTTGCCCACTTATGCTGTTTTTTGGACCCAAGTAGTTTTGGCATTTATACTTAGTAAATTTCATTTGTTTATTACTCCTTTCCAGTGCTGTTAAAGTCAATAAATGCCAAAAGACAACTTTTAAATATTTGGAACCATGGCAGCATTGTTGAACATGTGACAACTCATTTAGATGTATACATTGGATACAGTAAAAGTTCAGTCACTTGTAATGGGGTATGTGGTGGGGACTTGATAATGGGGGGAACCTAGTGACCACAATGTTGCTCATGTAATTGTGTATTGATACCATAAAAAAAACAAAAAAGTTCAGTCACTTTCACTGAATCAACAGATTGTATTTGCAAAGAAGGCATACATACACATACTGTCTAAAACAGTGTTTCCGAAGCTTCAGTTACTTATATCATATTCATGATACCCATGTCATCTGTATTAGCATTTATTTAACATTCGTTTTTAATTTCACTGAAATTTCTCCATAATCCAGTAGACACACGTTTTTTTCTAATGCATATTAAACACTTACATATGTGTTTAAAAATAACATTTACCATGTACCATCTGAAATAATTGAGTATCAGTAGTGATGTGTTGTTGTGTGTACCACATTCTGGTAAAAACTAACTTACATATGTGGAAATAAGTGACAGAAGAATAGAGAGAGATTTCTCTAGATGTGGAATTGAGGGCTAGGGAGACTTGGTTTTCATCAAAAGCACCTCCATGTTACATGATTTGCTACCACATGTATGTACTGTTTTACTAAACATGAAAGATTTAAAATTTAAACTAAGTAAAACAAACACAGATTCTGTCACACTAAACCACTTTGTACACTGCTTGGCAAAATAGCAACACAAAGTAGCTATTCAGGAAGATTTCTATTATTTCATACCTTTTCCTAATGAAAATCTCAGCCATATACTCACTCTTGTTGCTCGAAAGCGACATTCATGTATACAAATTCATTCACAAAGTTGAGGAAAAAAGACAGTTACTCACTGCAAAATGAAAACTTTCAATGTTTTATTTTTGACTGCAGCTGTTTACAGAAATATAGTTGCGAGTATACAAATGTTCCAATAGAAGCAAAATATCTTTTTAATATTTAACAAGTTATCACAGATAGCTAAAAACATAGATGCAAACGAAATTCCCCCAGAGAACAAACTGAAAATATCTGGTGTTAGTGCGCTGAAATTCCAACTATGAAAGCCATATACACAAAAATGTAACCCATATATCATTGCAAGACAATGGAAAAAGGCAGTTCAGTGGTTGATCAGTGTGCTCAAGCAAATAAAATTAAGTAAAATATTTAAATGGCAGAACGGTAACTAAACCACTTGAGAATAGGTTAATTGGTATGTATATATTTATTAAAAGACTAAGCAGAAAAAGTCATGGAACTCAGTAAAAGTTATCCTAAAAAGTAGCAACTACTTGGAGCCTATCAATTAGAAGTAAGGGAACAAGATGAGCAGATACACTCAGTAGATCAAAAGAAATCAGCTCAATGTCACTTTGTAGCTACTGAAGTCATAAACTCTTCAATGTAGGACAGTTCTTTACTGGACACATTAATCTGATTCTAAAGCTACTCTCAAATATCTGAGTGTGTGTGTGTGTGTGTGTGTGTGTGTGTGTGTGTATGTTGTCCTGAGGTTCATTAGCTAAAATAATAATAATAATAAGCAATCCCTATGAACTATTTCAAATCAGGCAAATTAATTCTGGAAAAAAAGAGAGATGATTAAACAAGGTCTTTAAAAGAGAGATTACAAATTGTAACTGAATAGAGTTGATAGAATGCTTTGGGTACAGGATTATATTATGCAATTAAGTGGGGAAGAAGAGACAGGTAACAACAAAGGAGGAATGTAGCTAGAGCATCTCCCAACAGTTTACCTATGTATTTGCCAGCACCAATGTTTGTAAAGTAAGCCACTTACATTTCCACTGCGAGTGTTAAGCAAAGACAGCAGTGGTGATTTTTATAAAGTGAGTATACAATTATTTTTATTTTGAACTGTGCATTTTTCTTTCATGAGTTAGTAATTAATGATTTGTAAACAGTGGGAGGAAGATTAGAACAATTATGAAGGTACTGAATTACACAGGAAGATTTAAATGAATGGATAAATATACTTATCTTGTGGTTAGTTTATATTTACCATGATGCATACAGTGCAGAAGGGAGAAATGCCCAAATTATATAATGTACTGTCTTGAATAAAAACAAAGTTTTTATTAAATTACTTTACTTTAAAAAATAACTCTTGTCTGCAGCACAAGTTCCAATGACAGCTATAACTCTACTGCATCAGTTCTCATACAAAGCAGGCTGCTTTTAAAGAAGTTTTATCTATTAAAAGAAGAAATTTAATAAGGTGCTTTGTTGGCCTGGCCAGCCATCTTGTTTAATATCTGGGATACAAAAATAAGGAATGACAGGTAATTTTATTCTGAAAGTTGATCTAGCTAGACCAAAATTGTGGTCTGCTGGTAAAGTAAGAGGCAATGAAAAGAAAGCTTGTATTATCACTGCCCACTACGTACCCAGTTTATGGATAAACAGAATTTAGCACCAGTCCATTGTGTTAGCTACTTAAATGTCGTAACAGTTAAAAGAAATATAGAGCATTGCACCTATATATTTAAATAAGTCATTTAATGTAAACTTTTTAGTAAGTGGCAAGAAAATACCAAACCAAGTTAACTGAATTATCTGTAACTAGACCAACTGTATATGTACATAAAATATACTGTATTTCTATAGGCAGTACTGAGAATTATCATTGCCAGTAAATGATTATGAATAACCAGGTTATACTGAATTTACATAAAGAACAATGTATAACTGAATCTGCATAAGCAAAAAAAACCTTTCTAGATCTGACTGTATATAGTTTACACCAGTAGTTCTCAAATGTAAGTGTCCATCAGGATCACCTGGAGGGCTTGTTAAAATTCAGACTGCAAGGTCCCTCTCCAGAGTTTCTGATTCAGTATTTCTGGAATAGGGCCCAAGAATCTGCATTTATAAAACTGCATTAATAAAACTAGTTCCCATGTCATACTGGTGTTGGCATAGGACCATATTTTGAGAACCACTCATTTATATACACCATATATGCAGAAAACTATATAGTATGATGTTCTTACTAACATGATACAAAATATAGGAAGAGGGCTGGTTTTAATTTACTCTCAAACATACAGGTTAGCAAGCTGAACATTTTAATGTCTCTAAAATGATTTGCTGATGTAGTCATTTCCCCTTACTGTCAATTACATTTCAAAGTCTTAAGTCCAACTATATATTTTAGAAAACATGTAAAACTTATACCAAGTTGCTATCCAAAATAAGGACATAAATAACCTAAACACTTAAGATGTATTCATTAAGAACAAATCATCACTATACAGCATTTTTTACTTCTTTGGAATGATTAAAGTGCATTCTATCTTTAGGGTATTACGAATATTGCATAAAGGTTTGCAGTCTTCAGTGCCACTAAGTCACAGAAACACCTGGGGAAATCAGCTCTATCTCAAAGCTACTACTATCCTGACTGCCTGTTGTTGATGGCCCTTTCTGTAGGCACTACAGCTGTGGTAAGGAGTTGGAACATAGGCAAAATTAACAAAAACCAGAGGGACACACAATCCAACTCTATCTGGTTGAAAGGAATTATTACCTTAGATCTAGAGGGACTCAGATATAACTTCTTCATTTCTTTTGATACTGTTTTTCATAGGCAGATAACTGAGGTTCTGATGGGCAAGAAGTACACTATAATGAATTTCTTGGCTCTGCCTAGTTTGAAAAACTGACATTACCAGGCTTTACCTAAACCATGTGCTAGTGATTTATTTTCACCCATCTAACTAAAGTCTGAGATGCTTTAAACTCTTCCTTCCTGAAATTTAACTACACATATTTATGTGTATGGAGTCTCACAGATAGTAAAATCTTCATTAGCATTCAGATAAGACCTATCATTAGTTGGTCAGGAGGAAGACAAATTTAGTTAAGCTATAAAGACCAAAGAGTATAATTCTGTGATCTTTTACTTACCCTTCTTCAAAGGAGCAATTCTAGCAACGTGTCTTTTCTGTTACTCTTATGCCAAACGGAGTTAGAAAATTAATGAAGTTGTCTTCTATGGTGATCAAGAAATAGAAAAAAGAATGACTAAATGGAAAAATTGAAAGTTGGGGCCTATTAAAATCATTTATGTGTTTTTGGCAATACTGAAAATGAAATTACAAGAAAGGGGCACTATCATGGCAAAAAGGCACAAGCATTTAATCTAGATATAAAATATTAATTTTAAAAAATTTCCTGAAAATACAGTAAAAATAGAATTTTATTAATAAATGAAGCTAGAATAGCATGAAAAAAGGAATTGAAGAAGTAATGAGAGTACTACGACAATTCATAAATGATACTGTAGGTACTATTCTGATACTACATTTATGGACATTATCTCCATGATTTAGCTCTAATGATACAAGCAGAGAGAAAAGCTCTTTTTAATGTTTATGACAGTCTACTAACCTGCTCACTACGGTATATACTCCTGAGTTATTTTCCTAATAAAGCTGAACTATACAGTTTTTCTCACTGAGTCCCTCCATCTGACCAAAGGCATGCAGATACAACACGGCTGTTCGAGGCATGAAGCCTGTGGTCATGAAGCAGAGGAAAGCTAATAGGTTTCATTCAGTTTTCAATTAAAATCAGAAAAAAAAATCAACTAGGACTCAGATATTAGAACAGTAATTTTCACCAGAAAGATGAAAAACTCTCAAAATACTCCTAGTGAGTATTTATACACCATGCTGAATTTGAGACTTTAATTCATTTTTCCAAAACAAGTGTCTATAATGGCTTAAATGGTCAAAAGGAATTATCTTAGTTCTAGAGGGACTCAAATATAACTTCCTTCTCATTTCCTTTCACACCATTTCTCCCAGGTAGATTAACTGAGGTTCTGATGGGCAAGAAATATACTATATTGAAATTCCCAACTATCACATATACAGTATCACAAGAGAAGGAATGAAGAAGAAAGGTCCCTCATTAATACTGCTTCTACAATAAACAAAGCCCTTTAATAGCCTGTTCCAGGGCGACTGCTGAAAACAGATTTGCATTGGTTAAATAACAAACAATATGGTACACTAATTACAAAGGCAACATGATAAAATTCAGATGTAAAATATGACTTCTAATTATCTTCTCCCATGTTGGTGTGGATATATAATGGAATGGCAATAAGGAATCACACACACACACACACACACACACACACATTAGCTCCAAGAATTAATGTGAGTTGCTAAAAGCAAGAACAACTGAATATAACAATATAAAGGAATAAAATGTGGTTTATTTAGATCCTTCTGCCTTAAATAAATTTAGTAACTTGTTGTTTCCAAGGCCTTTGCTGGTTCAAGGAGTTTCTCTCATATGTAGCTGTAACTTGTAACAGTAATCTGGTAACTGCATTATTAGCACAAGTATCAACCACTGCCCACTGAGCTAACTCTTTAATAAGATGACAAATGCTTTTTGTAACCAAACTGTATATTTAGAATGTTGTACTTAACATTGACCTTTAGGGGTAAGGAACATTTAACAATATTAAAAACAAAATCCATCATTATTGAATAAGAATATGGTAGCATAGCACAGCCCTTGTATAAATAACCACAAAATTTATGAAAATAAAAATTGGGTTTTCTGCCTCCATCCAATCAAACCACTACAGTTCAGGTGTACGTTCTGTTCTAAACTTAGATATTATAAAACAGAAAATTGGTCCCTGGTGACTTGGCATTGGCTATCAGCATTTTACAATGATAAACCTCTTAACAACAGAACAGAAGTCAGCACACAAGCCAGTCTTCTTGCCACCACTTCATCCATAGAGTTCACAAACATCCTAATTGAAACTTGGTGAATAGACTTCCTGAGTGTCCTGTGAAATATCTTAGAAAAAATTTCAGAAAACTCAGAAATAAACTTACAGTATTTTATTCCTACTTATTATTATACTTGCTGGGTAAGCTTTCTGACATTAGTGAACCCTTTGTAGTTAGAGTTTTACATTTTAAAACTGAAGCACTGGATTGTGTGGCTGGGCCTTCTCATAACCTGAACTATACTGGGTAATTTCCTGATGGGGTGGGGAGGGAAGAGAAATATTAAGGAAAATACTTTTGGTTCAAACAATTTATAAAGTAGCTTAGGATATTACAAGATGGGGGAAATGTTATTAAAATTACAAACATGTTTTTTTTAGTGTCTTTATAAATAAAAGGCATAGAATACAGAAAGCCAATTAATAATAACAATAACAACAATAAAATATTAAATATATAGTGAGCAAAGACTGAATGGCTCATTCTTGTGAAACACCATTTGATACACTGCCTAGATAGGTTTCTTTACTCTAGCATTTTGCTGAGTGAAAGATCCAGCAAACATACAGTAAGCTGCCTTTAGCCCACTAATAACATCAAGGAACTGCCTGATGGAATGGCCACAGATGAACAGGTCATTTGTTTCAAAAGATACTTAAATACTCAATAAAGACTTAACAAACCCCACCCCCCTCACTGTTATCAGACGCCACGTTGTGGTAGAACATGACAAACTCACAAATTTACCACAAAAATGTGTGGCAAAAAAAGAATAGTTTATATATATGTATATATATAAATTTCTATATTTATGCCAATGTACTCACTCAGTACAAATAGCAAAATAGTATACCATTTCCTAAATACAAAATATAGCTTTCCAAAAAAATGAAACACACATTAGATATAAACCATCCAAAACTTGAACGATTGAAAACTGTATTCAAAATTAAATGACCCAGAGTAGGTCTCTTTCTGAGAAGTTCCCTTCATATCGGCAAGAAGCCTGTACTACTGAAAACATAATTCAATGCCTCTCAATCAGAGAGAGAAAGAAAGAAAGGGTTGGGGATGGAGGGAAGAATATGAGAACAAAGAGAAAAAACAGATTAGAAGAGCACATTTAAAGAACCAAGAAGACCATCACAAAAAGGGGGAAAAAATCTGGCTGTATGAACAAAACCAACACTACGATTCCACAAAGTTCAACTAAATGTATAGAAGAAATAAAACAAACAAACAGAAAAGTAGCCTTCAACAATTAACAGGCTATTTTTTGTATACATAAAAATAATAAATGAAATGGAAAATAACAAAAAATCTTATCTACATACAGAAGCCACTAACGATTTGGCCTTAACTGTATTAACAGCTTTCTACATGCCAAAAAGAAAGTAAGACATGAGCATGAGTCCAGACAACAGGTTGTGGTGAGAAGCAGGCATCCCACTGGTGGTGAGAACACCCAAAACTGTATAACCAATGCTACAACTGTGAGTTCTGGAGTGTGTTATTTTGCTCTCTATAAACATAACAAGTTAATTCTTCATTTTAAGTCAATGATATGATCCTGTAAAGCCTATGGCTTTTGGGAACTATCAGATAAGCGACCACTTCAAACTGTAAAGCACTGAGGTGACAAGTGAATTATACTCACTGCAGCTCAGGGAAAAGTGATGTTCCAAGACATTTTATCTTTTTTTTAAATTAAAATTTACAGTTTCCTATTAGAGGGAAAAATTTGAAGACTTCAGAACAGCACCGTTCATGGGGAGAAAAAATCCTTATGTCTCAGGAATCAGCTCTCCTCATTCCTGAAACGGTATTCTCCCACCCCACCTGGGCTGCAGGAGTTGCTGGGTTACCCCAGATCGGAGTGGCTTTCCTTTAAGTTGCTACAGTCACAATGCTAGTAGTATATAACTAATTGTCTAAAATAAAGTGAAGAAGAGGGCAAGAGTAATGTAGATGAATATAAAAAAGGGAACACCAGGGTCCAAGAGTAGGATAAGAGGACAATAGACTCAAATTACTCTGTCAGTTTGAACTACTGTAGGAGGATATCAGAACATAATTTACCATATATTATTCCCCTTCATTTTTTTATAGAGCAAAATATTTTTTCTATGCACAGTTATGGCTAACTCCCTTTAAAGAAACACAGGGAATTAACAACTCTCTGAAAAATAAAATCAATAGCATTCCAGCTGTTCCCAGTTTGTGGGCTGTCTGCCTTTCTGATAAAGAAGCCTTTTATTGTGTAGAACTCTTAATATGCTTACTTGTCAGAATGTCACCTGTTCAGTTTCTCCATAAAAACTGAAAAAAAGATTCCTTCACTTTGGCCAATAGCTGTGCTTTTTACACTGAAAAATGACAGCCTTAGTTATTATTTCAACTTTCCTTTTTCAAAAGCCATTACTTGACTAAAACAATGCAGGAAAGAAAATATGAAGAACAGAAGTAAACATGATAATATGAATTGTTTTCTAATAGCAATAATAACTGAGCAGTCCAGCTTTTGAATGCGAACTGTACTTTTAAAGAAATAGTGCCTAGGAAAATAGCAACAATTAATTCTGTCAGCTGGAAACTCAGGTTCTCAGTCATTACTGTTATTAGGAATATAAATATGAAGATGTTAACAATGGTGGCCAACCACTGCAACAGGCAGCACAGGTGTGCTCTTTTGCAGTCAGAGTAAAATCTATCCATTTACTCAATCACAGTTTTTCATAGTTTGTTTTGTTGTTAAAGTAACAGTTCAATAATCCTCATGGAATCACAAGAACTCAGGACATCTTGGAATCAGGATTTTCTTCACGGAATTTCTAAAAAAAGAAGAAGTTTAATATAACTCACTAGGGAGGGAAAGCATTTATAAAGTTCCTGTCAACCTCAATGATCTCAAAGTATATTATAGTACTATGAATGATATTTTATATTTATACTTCCATAGACATTTATGACTCAGTATTTATTTCTTGAGGAAGAAATAAGACATAATTATATTCAATATACAGTACATTCATCAGCTGTTCTGTCATTTCAAGGCAAAGAAGCTTGCATAGAGCCAGAAGGAATGCCCGAGCCTAACAATATGACCATAAGCTATCAGAGGAATATATTCAGAGTAAAAAAGTAGCATCTTGTGAGAAAGCTATTATTTTAAAAGAGTACAGTCTAGACAGTGTTATAACTTTACTTCAAACTTCTAAGAATAATAAATTTATTGATGCTTTTCAGTAAGAAAGAAGCCAAAATACAACACTTACATTTCCAGTTAAAAGGAACCAGTCAAGTTGTTCCCTTGGTTTTGCAATGAAACAAGCAAATCAATCTTTTCGATGCTCTGGTTGGTGTTTAGAGAGGATGCCAGCGGAGAATTCTCTGGCATTTGCTGAGAAAGAAGTGTTGTCACAGGTGTCTGGCCCTCATTTTGTGGTTGACCTGGCTGACTTATGGCCATCAACTGATCTGGCAATGGAGCTGGTCCAGAAGTTAAAAGCTGACTACAGTCTGCAGAAACATTTAAAATAGAGAAGCTATCTGAATAGTTACTCTCTATTAGGATTCATATGAAGATGTTTATTAATTGCTGGGGGAAGTTCAATTGTGTTCACTCAGTACAGAGGTACAAGGAGGCACCTGACAGCCCCCATAAAGGTTTTTACCTAGTGGTACCAGAATTCATCTTAGGTTCCTTTGAAGCAGTATAAAAATCTAACTTTATTAGTTACCCTAAGTCCTATATAATTTCTTCAGCACATAAATGTTAAAGATGGGTTTCTGCCTCCTTGGGAACTACTTACTTTAATTGTCTGAGATATTTTCTGTCATTTTTATTTCACTTTCCTTTCAATTTTACAGCTTAAAATGGCAAACACATACATTTATATACATTACCACATTTAATCCTCCCCAATACCTTATCAAGTATGTCATATCACCACCATTTTAGATGTGGAAATTGAGGCTCATGTACGTCAAACAACTTCCTTAAGATCTCATAGTCTCTAAGCAGGGCTGGGACTTGAACTCAGTGCTGGTGACTACAAGCTGCGCTCTTAACAACTGTGTTTGCTTCCTTCTAATAGAAATAATCTCATCATGTCAACAAATAACATTTAAGAAATGAGAAATTAGAAAGAGTTTCTTACTATTTTGAATGCCAAATAAGAACATTCCCGAAGTCTGCTGAGATGAGCCAGGAGAATTCTGTAGTTGGTTTATTGTGCCTCCTGTAGTGTTGTGAAATAAAGTAGCCTGTGGTTGAGGTGAAGATGTGGCTCCCTGGATTCCAGGCATGTTGTTCTGAGGGGAGTAAAGAGGAGACTGTTGCATGTCTTGTTGGTTTATGCTGGTCTGCAGTGCAGACATGGATGCTGGAGAGAGGAAGAGTGTCACTTGCTGCTCTTGAGAATTAGGTGACCCTTGGACCAACTGAATCTGAGGAGAGCTGTGGAACAAGGAGGTCTGTGATGATTCAGACTGGGGCGGACCTGGATTCTGAAGGGAGGAAACTGTGGGCTGGTTCTGAAACTGCATGGCCTGCTGCTCTTGATTCAATGGGGCCATGTTATTTTGTTGGTGAAAAAGTGACTGGTTCTGCTGCTCCTGGTTTGCCATTGGATTCTGACTGGGGCTGAATATCATGGCTGGTGGAGGTGGCTTCTGGGATGCCATGGTAGCCATGGTGTTCTGGCCACTGAATAAAATGCTCTGTGGTTGTGGTGACTGCTGCTGCTCCTGGGATGCAGAGTTACTCTGGATGCCAACTATTGAGTGCTGTGGCTGGAACATTGCTCCTTGCTGACTCTGAGGCATTGGATTTGGAGGAAGGGAGCCCAGGGACACCTGGGGCTGAAAAAGACCTTGCTGGGAGGGCTGTGCCTGTTCTTGGGAAAGCATAGGGGTCTGGATGTGTGATATTGGAGCCTGCTGTTGGAAAGCAGATGGCTGCTCAGTGTTCGATGTTGACTGAAGTGGAGAAATTGAGTTTTGAGCTGCAAAAAATGAAATCTGTTCTTCCTGGGCTACAGTGTTAGTTTGAAGATTATTCATTGGACTCTGGGAAAGAAATATATTGGCTGACTGCTGATCTTGAGGAACAGAAGAGCCCTGTAGCACAGCCATAGTACTTTGGGAGTGAAACATTGGAGGCTGCATCTGTTCAGAGGAGGTTGTAGAAGTCTGACTATGGACAATAGGACTTGGACTATGAAAAATAGAACCCTGAGTTTCCTGGGAAAGGTTCTGAGCATCGGCAATAGGATTTTGAGGATGAAAAAGTTGAGCCTGTGAATGAGAAGACTGCTGCAAAAAATTCCCAGATTGGAGGGACATCATCTCATTACCCTGCTGGAATAAACCATTACCTTGCTGCTGGGTACCACTATTCTGAACACTCATCATACTTTTTGTAGATGAAAAAAGGTTAACTTGGGGTGGATTCTCCCCACTGTGTTGCATCTGGACCATGGTCTGAAAGACACTGTTCTGAATCTGTTTTGCTTGTGCTCCAGTTTCTTCTCCATCTCCTGAACTTGACGTTTGAAACATGGTAGTGCCAGGGGTTGCAACCTGCTGCGTGGGGGTTGTAGTAGTTTCATTTCCAGAAACTGCAGGAGGAGAAGAGAAGAGCTCACACTGCATTTGCATGTCCTCACTGGTAGATAATGCACTCATCATATGGGAAGTCTGCTGGTAAACTGGAGACTGCTGGAGGTTCCCACTTGCTGACGCGGTGGAAGGAAACAACTCGGACTGAATCTGGGCAGCGGCCTGGCAGATGCTCTGCTGCATCTCCATCACCATGGCAGCCGATGACTCCATCACCTGCTGCGGCTGCTGCGGCTGCTGGCCTGACAGGGTGCTGTCAGTCTGCGGGTGAACACTGTCAGCTCTCCCAGCTATCAAGTTATCCGGCCTGCTATGCACTGCTGGCTCTGCTGAGGAAAACATTCCAGGGCTTACGCTATTTTGAATTTGACTGACTTGTTGAAAAATGTCTGCACTAAGCTGCTCTTGAACATTCTCATTACCATCTGGAGCAGAAAATAAAACTGAAGATAACTGTTGTTGTGCCTCTAAAACTTGTTGGACCAAGTCAACATTTCCACCGCTGCCACTAGCTGGACTGCCTGTGAAACTTCCTGCTTGCAGATGCTGGATTGTATTCTGTAGCTGACTCACACTATTTGGCGATGGGAAAATGTTTGAGGACATCTGCTGCTGTAAAGTCTGTGTTTGTTCTTGCAGCGGTGACTGCTGCTGCTGTGGCACCTCGGTCAGGTGGGACAAATTAACCACTGTGCCATCTGACTGTAACACCTCCCGAGGCTGACTTTCTCTCGTCTGAAACTGTGTAGCCTGCTGCAGTAGCGCATCACTGCTGGGCAGCTGACTAGAGGCAGAAACTGCTGGAAAGGTACCAGGCTGTGAAATATCCTGTGTTTGGATAGTTGTCAGCGTCTCTGGGTTGTATGCCTTGGGCTGAATCTGCTGCTGCTTTTCATTTTCAGAAGGTAAGTGGGAAGATGATGATGATGAGAAAGACCCATTTCCTGCTATGTTAGAGATATTTTCTAATGTTTGTTGGGTTGATACAACTGTCTTTGTAGCCTAAAAAATAAAAATCCCCAAATAAAATGTATACATAAATGTTAAAAATAAGTTCATATGATAACTTCAAAAAGTATTATTATTCTAGAAACACATGTATACGCAGGACCAACCTTCCACTTTATTTACTGGAAAACAGGTGTACGACTATGATACTCAATGATAACATGATATCTGGTTATTGTCAGGGTATTTTTAAGTAAATATTAGAAGAAAAGATGGTCAAATAAGTAGAAGGATGATCAACTATTGATATTTTAGCGCAGTGAGAACACATTAACTCTCTGGTTCGTGAATTAATAGTACATTAAAAAATACCTCCATTTTGTGGATCATTGGTAACTTTATAGGGGGGAAACAAGTGAAAAAGGGAAAGAGAGTTATAGGAAAGACTGAAGAAAAAAAGTAAAATAAAAATGACTCTAATTTGAAAATGCTAACCCAGCATTTTCACCAATATTCCACATCTCACAGGTCTAGCTAACACATTATCTCCTCCCTTGTTAAACATATATATTGGAAGTCACTTTGCAGGCTACTTATTAGAGTCTAAAAGCATTCACTTTGAAAGCAAAATTCCTTAAATGCATCCAAAGAGAAACAAATGTGAAGGAAACAGGAAAAGTAAAAAGCACAAACTTGGAGAAAAGAAATGAAGCCCCCCCAAAATACATATAGCAATTTTTGTATTTGAGATTAAGATGTAGGGCACTAGTCAATGTAGCTCACCTTAAAAATAGGGGAAGATCTTTTTTCTGCTGTTATTTCCATTGGAGTAACATCTTCACTCTTAATCATACTGCTTGATATGAGTGGAGTGATCAGAGCATTAGGAAGAATATTCACCTTATCTAAGTTACATCCAGTAGTTTTCATTGCTGCATGTGTACACACACACAAAAAGAAAGTTTAAAATCACTAAAACCATTAACTATTTCATCCTATAATGTGCTGACTATTAGTCATGACTTAAATGTCTCTTTTTTAATGCTATCATGGTAACACAAAATTCAAAACTGGTTTATCAAAATGTGCTCTTCCTTTTTCAAGTAGCATTAACTTTAGGACCCCTGGTAAGAGCCCGAGAATGCAGGTTATAAATCAACAGGCTCGAGCAGTTCAGTTATCAAGTTATAACTACCAGGACCCTTTGAAGATGCCTTTACACTGCTCAACACTACCAGGTTATATTATAGCATACAGCTTAGAAATCTCCAGGAGATTACAACTGCTCAATTACAACTGCTACCTTCTCCTCTTAGCATATGACTGCCTGGCAGTATAAAAGTCAAAACTTTTTAAGGGCTATAGAACTGTCTAAACATTTCTCTCCTCAACAAATCTTAAGCCTTTCATTAGAAAAATGCCACTAAGTAACGAAATAAACTTTGCTTTTCCAAATTAATGTCTTAGAAAACTTCAATTTGCTAACACATTTCTCTTTTAAACAGGACTTTGAATTTTTTCTTTTCAGAAATTTAAGGATGATTTTCTTAGATTTTTATCAATTAAATTTCCAAAGCAAACCACCAAGTACTTTCTACTTCCTACTACTACAATTTTCAGTAGTTATGAGGCAGTACCTAACAGATAAGGTAGATTCTACCATTTCATTTATTTTTTCTCTTGATTCCTTTTCTTTTCTTTTTTAATTCACTACCCACTCCTGATTCCTTCCTTTTCTTTCTTTTTTTTGGCTACTTAAGTGCCACTGGCACTTAGTAGAGTCTACTGATATCACCAATGATAGACTTCTAAACTGAACACATAACCAAATTCTGATTTAAAAATTACTTTGAGAACCTATGGAGAGAAATATGGATTCCTCAGAAGGTATAGTTGTTTAATTTCTTAATTTGATACTGATATTTTAAAACAGTACATGAATAGGATAGCTAGATTTGTAAATATTTTAATTTAAAAATATTACTCAAAACTTTCTGGACTTACTTCAGCTTGTCTCACAGCTAAGTGGCTAAGAACAATTCTCAGGGAATTGATTATATTGAGGGAGGGGAAAGTGCTCACTTAACTTTTTGTACTCTATGCTTTATTACTCATGAGTTCTCTGGACCTATTTTCACCCAGGTTCTACCAATACCAATACAATTCAACTCACAATCCAGTTTTGACTGAGATAAAACTTCAGATTATGCACAGAGAAGGCAGTTAAAAGCATTCTAGCACAACTGAAAGACTCACAAGACAATTTGAAAGACTACTATGTTGTCTTAAATTGATCTTGTAATGTTCAACTACTTTTCTGGATTTTGAATTATGTTAGAATGTGAGAGCTCCATGAGGGCACAGACTTTGTTGCTGTAGCCTGATGCAGAGCAGGTAATACTTGTTGAATGAATGAAGAAATGAATAACTACTCTTAACTTTTATCACAGTCAATTTAGTTTTTTGTGGATTATTTGGTTAATCTTATAATGCAGTGCTGCATATTTTTATTAATAGTCTTCCGGTCTAAAATATTCACTATCTAAAGACAAGTTTATATTACAGTTCAATTAGAAACTGCATGTAAACATCCACTGATAAATAAATGTATCACCTACACAGTTACTGCTTAACAGAAGTATAATCAATTTTCCTCCAAATTTATTTAGACAATAATTCGTATTTTTTCCCCTTTTGGAAAGTGAGAATAGGTGGAATAAGTTGAGTTAAGTCTTTTACTCCGCCTGAAGAGACCAGTGACAAATAAGTATGTCTACTGGTGTAGACAAATAATAAAGGACATTTTGTCTAATGCCCATGCAAAGATATGTCTTTCTATGGCCTGCGACAATTTAGTTTTCTAAGCCCTATTTTAGTCTGCTTGTTGTTCTAGCTCTTCATGAGCTCCAGCTGGAATCCTACTGTCTACAGGAATGGACGGTGTTTTTCTGGGCTGCCTGGTTTCATTAGGAGGGGCTGAGGGAATGCTGGACCTGCAGGAAGGAAAACATTTCTCATGGTATGTTCTCTGGTCTCCTGACATGAATGGGCTTCCCATTCAATTTCTGCTGGTGCTTCTGGGGTAGGGAAGCACCTACATGGTCTGCCTTCTGCCACTGGGAGGGAAAGGTCAAGAACTAAAACTGGTCAGAGGTTTGGGAGCCCCTGGGTCTGGTTCACCTGCTACTGGACTGTCTTCTGTCACTGGGTGGAGGATTGGGAGGCACTTGGCCTTGATCTTCTCCTCCTTGGTGGAGGGCCAGAAGCTGCCTGGGCTGGATCTCTGCTGTTGGAAGAAGGATAAGGAGACAGCTGGTACCACCAGTACAGGTGGAGGGGCCTGTGCGCTACTGCCTGGTGTGGGGTGGGGAATGGATCGGCTCCCTGGGTTCTGCTGCTACCATTCCTGTAGACAGACCTCCTGCTGCTGGCATATGTGAGGCCTGTATTTTGGCCCTCTTGGGTTCTACTGTTGGCAGATTGGGCCCACTGCTACTTGGCAGGTGGGGGCATGGGGTGTGTTGACCCACCCAAATTCTGCTGTTATTACTACAGGTGTGGGTAGAAGATGGGTTGGACCCCAAATTCTGCTAGTGAGTCAGCTGCTGCTCCTAGGTACGAGTCATCCCACTAAGTCTCTGCTGAGCTTTCCCTTCCTGGTCTTTTAGCCAAACAGAACACGCTTTTCATGCTTATTTACCGATTTATTTTTTGTCTGCGCCTGTGTCAGTGCCCAATTCAGATAAAAAGGAGATAAACACTCGGTGTGGTTCTTCAAGTTCCAAGGTCCCTACCCAGTCCTCTTTCCTCTATATTTCAAGTTCTCTTATGATTATTGATTATTTCCAAGGTATTTAGTATATTTAGAAGGGAGGAACAAGGAAAAGTGAGTTCATACTATCCTGTCTCAGAACCTACAACTTAACGGACCTGTAAACAATACTAAATGGCCTGAGAGATGTTACCCTATCTTTTCTTCCTACATTTTCACTATGTATTTATTGAGCCCTTACAAAGTTCCAGACACTGTTCAAGGTTCTGGGGGTCCAGTCATGAATAAAACAGATAAATCCCTACCACCTGGAAATTACATTTTAGTAAAGGAGGAAAAAATTACAAACAAGTCAAGTCTACGTTCTACTTAGGGGCTGGGGGAGAACTTTTAAGGCAATTCAGAAAACCCAGAAGGTAAATAAAATAGATATATGTAAACATCCCAATATCAATTTCAATTTTGTGAAGAATATTGGTATTGATAGTTTATGCCAAACAAGTTTTAAACAGTTATATTTTCCATCCATGCCAAATAATAACAAATTTTGAAACTTAGAACAATCTTTACTAAAAGTTTGTTGTCAACAAGCAGCATTTTAAGTATAAATATGTTTATTTAAAATATGAATTATAGGGGAGGAAATAATAGAATGAAAAGAATAAAGAGTTTTCGGACAAATCTAAAGTGCAACCTCTATCAGTTACTAGCTATATGTCCTTGAATCACTTAACTTCTGTAAGTCTCATCTGTAAAATCAGTTGAACTAGATTATCTCTATGCTTGCTCCAAGCTCCTAAACCTTTTCAAATAGTTGTAACCAGTTAAAAGTATATGCTTATTATTAACCACTCCTTACAAAGTTGATACCGAGAGAAGGCACATCAATATTTTACCTCTAGGGCCTAAACTTGCATCATAGAATCACTTAGCTACCTGTCTAGAATTTATACTGACATCTACCTGCACCTATATAGATACAGAAAGTTACTAATAATATTTCCAGGAAATTGCTAACAATCATTCATACTGTAAAATTTATCTTCCCATGTGCACTACTTTTATGTTAAAGATATATACACAATTGGGTAAAACTGAAGATGAATCACAACGTTTTGGCTTAGACTGAGTATTCACTGAATAGTTGTGCAGTTATCCTCCTGCTGACTATCCGTCCCTGCAAACCCTCTCCAAGGAATTGGGAACTTATTTCAGAGTAAAAGCTTTCAATATCTAGCCATAAGATCATATTTGGGTATCAAATTCTAAATCTTATTGTAATTGATGGCTAGTCACAAGAATGTTACTTTTAAGATTACTGTGATAACATAAATTTAAAAGTCATTTTTGCTCAGTTTCATCATTAAAGCATACCTAATTAATCTCCCAGATGGCACACTGGCATTTTACTAAAAATGTCAAGTACAAACTTTAAACTTTTAAGTATTCAACTTAATTTTAAATCTTCATGAAATTATTTTGCCATGATTTCCCAGTTGACAAAACTGTCAAAATAGGAAGGTCTGAACTGTGAAAAAGAATAATATGTATGTGTATTTCTTATCCATTTATTTAGGCTTGTATCAAGATTTTGATTAAATAACAAATCATTTTATTACTAAAAATTAAACATAGCATTTAATACCTTTCAACCTTCAATTCACAATCTTATATGAGAAATTTCACTTTGGATCAGATTAGTGTTCTACCAGTCTGATATTCTGGGAATGGAACATCAAGGAATTTTTGGAGAAAAGCATTAATGCTTTAAAGTTGACAAAGGATTGGCTACAATGTCCGTTTCTTTAATGATTAATTAATTATGGTATTATTCATCTAATAAACATGGTTTGAATTATTTTTGCTTAGATGTGTTACCTTATACACTGAAGCTCAACCTACCCTTTTCAATCCTAGCTAAGTGACCTTGGGCAAATTATTTAACCTCTCTGGAACCTGGTTTCCTCATCTGTGAAATGAGAGTAACAAATTACCTACCTCACAGAGTTCATGAGATAATGCAGACAAAAACTATGTATGACATATTGCTTAGCACTTAATACATGTTCAATAAACAATAGATATGGTTATCCATAGCACAGATTTGTAAATTTTCCTGTACTTCAATCATATAATCTTGGCAGTTTACTTAGTCATGCAAACTACTCACTAATCTACTCTGGACGTATTTATAGTCAGAAATTATAATGGCAAGCTATATTGGACACATTATATATGTAAATGCTGAATTTTACTCCTGACAATACAAAAAAATCCACTCTATTTTACAAAACTTACAAAGTATATTATGCCCCTTAAAAACTAATTAATTTAATTTTTAAATTTAATTCAAGAATTTCAAGCAGAAAAACTTAAGTAAAGGCTAGAATTATAGGAATAAATCAATGGCTATTATGTCATTGACATCTTCATAGAATGGCATAAAAGCATCATCAAGTACCACAGCTGTATTAGGTATCTGCTAAGAAACTATTCTACCACCTTATAACATCCTGAAGACAACTTCATTGTTTCCTAGAATTGGCAGGGGAGCTAAATAAAAATGTCAGAAGAATGACAAATGAAGAACTAAAGCAACTTTTTTAAGTATCTACAGTTCATATTTACATTGCCTCAGTCTCAATGTGAAGTATTAATCTTATTGGTAGCAAGAAGTTTATAGACTATTTTAGACACATTACTGTACTCTAAATTATATAGACTTCTACGATTTTTAATAGTGGAGAATGAAAAACAAAACACAAAAATCTCCTCCAAAATAATGTATGTTAAAAAGAAGTTTTTATATGGTGCATGAAGGAAAATATCAAGCTGGGAAACAAGTCTGTATTCACATTTACTTTATAATATGCAAGATACCCTGTTAAATGTTCCAAGTACTAAGAGAAAACAAAATATAAGGTTCGCTAGAGAAAACATACAGGATCGCCTATTTATAATTTTTGAGAAGAATCAACTCAGTACCTTTCATGGCCTCTTCAAAAGAGCAAGGTCTTGCTGGACTAGATATTTCCTTCTTCACATTTACATTCAAAGTGCTAGCTGCTGCTGCTAGTAAAACAAAACAAAGACTAATGTATTTATATAACCTTATTCATCAACAAAATGTGTACCTTAAAATTCTTTAATTGCCATCACTAAATTATTTGTTTAGCAGAAATTCTAGGTTGATGAGTTTTTATAGCCACCAGTCCATCCGGTAAAATTCACTAATCTCTAAGTGGACAGAGCATATGCTCAGTTATCAAAATAAAACAAAAGAAAAACAACAGCAACTTTAAAAAAATCCTTCTTATTAACAGTACACAGACTAACTATATCTGATGAGCAGAAGATTGATGTGAGACTTAAGTTTATAAACTCTACCACTAGCATGAAAAAAACCTACAATTCACCTACATAAATGATTTACTTAAAAAATACTGATTAAATGATGCTCAGTGAAATAAGCCAGGTGGAGAGAGACAAGTACCAAATGATCTCACTCATTTGTGGATTATAACAATAAAGCAAAACTGAAGGAAAAAAAACAGCAGCAGACTCACAGACTCCAAGAAGGGACTAGCAGTTACCAAAGGAAAGGGCATGGGGAGAGTGGGTGGGGAGGGAAGGAGAGGGATTAAGAGGCATTATAATTAGCGCACATAATGTAGGGGGGTCATGGGGAAGGCAGTATAGCACAGAGAAGACAAGTAGTGACTCTACAGCATCTTACTACACTGCTGGACAGTGACTGCAATGGGGTGGAGGGGGACTTGATAATACGGATGAATGTAGTAACCACAATGTTGTTCATGTGAAACCTTCATAGGATTGTATATCAATAATACCTTAATAAAAAGAAAAATACTCATCAAGAAACATGAGTCAATTGAGCTAAAACTTAAAAAAAACCTGTGATGAACATACACAATCGCTAACATTATAATTATTCTTTTTGTAAAGCCTTAGAAAAAATCATCTTTGCTATTATTAATGGAGACTTGTTGAGCTATTTTATCTAGTTATATCAAGTATAACTATTACGACAACTTTAAATTTAATGGGGATAAGGAGAGATCAGTTCTGAATGATGAAGTTAGACAAATTCCAAATAAACAGGTTCTTCCTTACAATGACTATGTAATAATTTTATTTAGATTTTCATTTCTATTTTTAATGTACTTATTTTATATTCCCTAACTTATTCAAAATGTGAATTATGTCAGATTATTTTCAATTTCTTATTCTTGATGTGACAATATGAAATGATAGTTCTAAAGAGACTATAAAGAGATAGTTAATTGTGAATAAAGAGACAAAATGGACACATCTCCTAAGAAAGAAGTTAAATAATTTATCTTAGCAGGTAGCACAGGAGGTCCAACAAATGCTATTATAGGTCATTGAATCGAAATAGAAATCCACAGACAATTTTAAAGCATAATATTAATTCTAATAATTAGATTTTAAATAGAAACTAAGCTTTGAAAAAAACTTTAAACTTCTACTTTTAAATCAAGTTTTAGTTATTTGTTTTTAGAGCAGAAAGAATATGAATAAATATTACATCCCCCATTTCTTACTGGAATCACTATTGCAGACTCACTGTAAAAAATACCTAATGTAAAGGGATGAAACTAGAAATAAATTACACAAAGCAAATGAAGCAGCCCACAAGAACACGGAGGCTTAATAACATACTCCTAAATAATCAATGGATCAATGACCAAATAAAAACAGAGATCAAGCAATATACGGAGACAAATGACAACAATAATTAAACACCACAAAACCTGTGGGATGCGGCAAAGGTTGTGCTAAAAGGGAAGTATATTGCAATACAGGCCTACCTCAGGAAAAGAAAAACAATCCCATATTAACAGTACAAACTCACAATTAACAAAACTAGAAAAAGAAGAACAAAAGAAGAACAAATGAGGCCCAAAGTCAGTAGATGGAGGGACATAATAAAGATTAGAGCATAAATAAATAAAATCAAGAAGAATAAAACAATAGAAAGAATCAATGAAAGCAGGAGCTGTTCTTCAAGAAAATCAACAAAATAGATAAACCCCTAGCCAGCCTTACCAAGAAAAAAAAGAGAGTCTACACATACAAACAGAATCAGAAATGAGAAAGGAAAAATCACTAGACACCACAGAAATACAAAGAACTAGGACAGAATATTATGAAAAATTATATGCTAACAAACTGGATAACCTAGAAGAAATGGACAACTTTCTAGAAAAATACAACCTTCCAAGGCTGACCCAGGAAGAAACAAAATCTGAGCAGACCAATTACCAGCAATGAAATTAATTTGGTAACCAAAAACTACCCAAGAACAAAACCCCTGGACCAGATGGCTTCAATGCTGAATTTTATCAAACATTTAGTAAAAGACATAATACCCATCCTCCTTAAAGTTTTCCAAAAAGTAGAAGAGGAAGGAATACTCCCAAACGCATTCTACTAGGCCAGCATTACTCTAATAGCAAAACCAGGCAAAGACACCACAAAAAAAGAAAATTACACACCAATATCACTGATGAACATAGATGCAAAAATATTCAACAAAATATTAGCAAACAGAATTCAAAAATACATCATCATCATCCACCACCACAACAAAAAGGACAAAATCCACATGATTATCTCCATAGACGCTGAAAAAGCACTGGACAAAATTCAACATCCATTCATGATAAAAACTCTCAACAAAATGGGTATAGAGGGAAAGTACCTCAACATAATAAAGGCCATATATGACAAACCCACAGCCAACATTATAATTAACAGCAAGAAGCTGAAAGCTTTTCCTCTAAGATCGGGAACAAGACAGGGATGCCCACTCTCCCCACTGTTATTCAACATAGTACTGGAGGTCCTAGTCATGGCAATCAGACAAAACAAAGAAAAAAAGGCATCCAGACTGGTAAGGAAGAAGTCAAACTGTCACTATTTGCAGATGACATGATATTGTACATAAAAAACCCTAAAGAATCCCCTCAAACTACTAGAACTAATATTGGAATTCAGCAAAGTTGCAGGATACAAAATTAATACACAGAAATCTAATGCTTTCCTATACACTAATGATGAACTAGCAGAAAGAGAAATCAGCAAAACAATTCCATTCACAATGAGTTATCACCTCACACCAGTTAGGATAGCCAACATAGAAAAGACTAGGAACAACAAATGCTGGCAAGGATGCGGAGAATGGGGAACCCTCCTACACTGTTGGTGGGAATGTAAACTAGTTCAATCATTGTGGAAAGCAGTACGGAAGTTCCTCAAAAAACTCAAAAATAGAAATACTATTTGACCCAGGAATTCCACTCCTAGGAATTTACCCTAAGAATGCCGCAGCCCCATTGAAAATGACATATGCACCCCTATTTTTATTGCAGCATTATTTACAATATCCAAGAAATGGAAGCAACCTAAGTGTCCATTAGTAGATGAATGGATAAAGAAGATGTGGTATATATACACAATGGAATATTATTCAGCCATAAGAAAAAAACAAACCTACCATTGCAACAACATGGATGGAGCTAGAGGGTATTATGCTCACTGAAATAAGCTAGGCAGAGAAAGACAAGTACCAAATTATTTCACTCATCTGTGGAGCATAAGAACAAAGAAAAAACTGAAGGAACAAAACAGCAGCGACTCATGGAATCCAAGAATGGGCTAACAGTTACCAAAGGGAAAGGGACTCAGGAGGGTGAGTGGGAAGGGAGGGAGAAGGGGAATAAGGGGCATTACAATTAGCACACATAATGTGGGGGGGTGGGGGCACGGGCACAGAGAAGGCAGTACAGCACAGAGAAGACAAGTAGTGACTCTAGCATCTTACTATGCAGATGGACAGTAACGATAATGGGGTAAGTGGTGGGTAATTGATAATGGGGGGAATCTAGTAACCACAGTGTGGCTCATGTGATTTTTATATTAATGATACCAAAAAAAAATACCTAATGTGATTTCTGTGTCTTAATAAAATGAAGTAAAAAAATTAAAGGTACATCAACAGTTAAGCAAATCCTCAGTGACTAACGCAGATAAAACACAGGTTTTATGACTCTGCAAAGTGTCTAAGTGCCTGAGAGCATGCACCTGCGATGAATTTTTGGCAGTACAGACCCAGAGGGCTTTAGAGCGGCTTGTGTCTGGCACAGTGTGGAACCAGTTTATGTTCACTTGAGCCCTTGCCCCAATCCTACTTTCAGACCATGTACCAACTACCCAAGATCCCCAAATCTGCACAATTACTCTAGACTATGTGTACCATCTGAGGCCTATAGGATGGACAGAGCTTGGAAGCACTGGCTGGTGCATCAATGCCCTCCAGGGTATAGCATGGAGCTTGGAGTGGAAAAAGAAGGGTGGCAGGCCCGGAATCCTTTCCTCATATTGTCATAGTCCAGCTTGGAACTTCAAGTATTCTGGAAATTCTAACTCCAAATCTGGCTTTCCATATTGTTAGGAGGATATTTGGTAAAATTAGGACAGCAGGATATATTTTATTTAATATTTGTAACTTTTAAATATTTAGACAAATGGATAACAGTTGCCATTTCTACTCTGACTCTTGAATATTAGGATGGGCCTAGTTTAGCTGTTAAATCTATAATTGTAAGAATTAACGTTGTGCTTTAAAATTGTCTGGGGATGTCTTCTTTCGATTCCCTATATATCATTTTCAGACCTTCTGTTCTGCCTGCCAAATTACTTAACTCATTCTTAGGAGATATGTCCATTTTGCTTCTTTATTCACAATTATCTATCTCTTTTGGTGTTAATTATGCACCATTGAAGGAACATTCAAATGTTTAACCATAGTCGCCAGAGGAATCACAAACAGCAACTAGTTGATCATGATGATAGTACAAATTTTCTATAATCAAGCTTTTCTGAAATCATATTCTCTCTCCTGCACATCTGAAAAGATGATCACATTTTGTAAAATACAAAAAAGTGAAATTATGGGAAGACATCATAAAGGCAGAAACTGAACCATTAGATCTTATTACAAAGTTTCCCTATCTGTTCACTATGAGTTTCTGAGAGTGTGCCTCTACTTGATATACAAAATGAGGGAAAAACTTAAAAGCATAAGAATATGTTAATGATTGCTTAAATATAGCTAATTAGAATGGCCTTTAAAGCAGAGGACTTAAATGCTGTTTTATTTGGCAATTTATCAAAGGGAAATTTCTAAAAATCAGCATTTATCACTAAGAAATTAAGATTCTTAGTGCTGATGTTACATTCTTCAAAGTCCTAAAGTTCTTTATAATTAATTAATAAAAATAGCAATATCTCAGTATTTTCAGGATAGCAAGAATCTTAAGGCTATTCCCCGACACACACATACATACATTTCCTTCTTCCCTTTCAACAGAAATGATATATAAGCTCATAAGGAAAACAATTCTCACATGCTAATTATGCCATCTTTCTCCCCACACAAGTGAGTTCTTCCTTACACAAAAATTAAATATCAATATTTGGTAATTAGCAGTTACTAAAGTGTCTTAACTACCATTAGTTTTAAATTAAACTTTCTTGGAATTTTGAGGTCCTCCTTGAAAGAAAACAATCAAATACTTGGTTTGAATATCAACCAATCTTTTCTATTTTTGTTGAAACCAGTAAATTATTTCTTAACTTTGTCTTTTTTTTTTAAATCTGAAATTCTATTTGTGATCTTTTATTCTGAGACAAATTCTTAGAGTATTTCATTAGTGCTATATACTATGGCATACTTTTGTAGCACACTGGTGGAAAATAACTCACGGTGTGAAATTCAGACATGATCTTAAAAAGGGAATAGATACAATGAGTGACAGAAAGTAATGATCAAGCTTAATTATAATTTTGTCCTAGCTGCTGTTTATATCACTTTTTGTTGCCAGGGCTTTCTTTTCCTGACATTGTATTCACTGAATCCTGAACTATTTGGAGAAAACATATTAATAAACTTATAGACACTGAAGAACTGCTAATTCTGAAGTATACCTGAGACTGGAATGAACTGAACCAATGTTAAACATAGCAGAAACCAAGCCTTAGGTCAATGGGACATGTGAACAGCTTCCCTTCCCAAAATGTTCTCCCTACTTCTGTCCAGAAAAGGTTTGTCTTCTTCAGGTAACTAAATGAATGGAGGCAAAAAACTCTTAAGATACTTCTTACTCAGATATCTCTGAACTTTTAACATTTCAACTGCTCTTACTACTTTGGTTTCTAAAGCATCTATTTTACTTAAATGTTTAAAATTATATTTAAAAATTTATTAACCACCATTCCTGGTATTTTTTATTAAACAAAATTAGAAATGTTACAGGCATGTAACTCTTTGTGATTTTTATCACCTATCACACCAAGCTTATCTCTCACCTCTGCCAAAATGCATCCTATAAGATGGCCAAACTATTAGCAGTTTCGCAAAGTTGTTGCTTTGACCTTTCTACAGATCAGAGGTACTCAATGAATGGTGGTTCTTACTGAAGAGTAACCTGTATAACTCCGGAGAATCTGACTTCAGAACATTTTTATTCCTAGCTTTTTTTACTACTAGTACATAAGGTAGAAATGATTCCCTTGATAATAAGCGTAAAAGCAGTATTTGACAGCCATCTTCTTAGGGAATAATGCCATCCTCCAAAAATACCAGTAGCAATTCATCTTAGTGCACAACTTATTTATTTATTGGTTGGCTGGTCTTCGTATCCTTCCAAAGAACTAGAAATTAGTAGTTCAGAATTTTTTTTTAACATACCTGGGTCTGGAGTGTAAGTGAATGGCTGAACATCATGAGATCTTCCAGCGTTGGTCACTACATATATTCCCACCGATACGGGCAAAGTTATATGCTGGTCATGATATGGGGGAACTTTCACAATAAGATGATTCTAATTTAAAGAAAATTACAAAAGTCAGAAAAGCACCAATATTTAAATTAAAAATCTGAAGTAAAGTCTTATTAAAAAATACGTATTTTAAAGCTGAGGTTCACAATTAATCTTACAATTGCTTTTAAGGTGAAATCCAAATGTTTTACAATAGCTTACAGGGTCCCTGCCCTGTCAACTTTCTCTCACCCCATTCTTCCACAGCTTGCACATTAAGCATAGCCACACTGACCTTCTCAGCCCAGTTTTAAAACATTAAATCCATTTTTACGTCAAGAGTCTTTAAAATTTACTGTCCTCTCCCACTGGAACATATTCCTTTACCTCTTCAAATGGCTAGTTCCTTACCCATTTTCAGGTCTTATTCAAATGTTACTTCCTCAGAGAAGGCTTCTCTGTCCATCCTATGTAAAGGAGCACCCCATCCCCTGATTACATGATCCTGTTTATCTCTAAAACAGCCCTTATCACCACCTGAAATTAGTGATTGTGTTTTTTGTCTCTCTTCAAACACAAGATAAACTCCATGAGAACCTAGGATGTTTTGTTCTCCACTATGTATCCACTGCTAAGCATCTTACAAAAATACACTATTTGTAAAATAAAATGAATATACTTTGAAGCAAAAAATGTCAGTTACCATATATTTTGTAAAATCCTAATTGTGAGATGTACATCACAGCACAGTTCACTGCTTCCTAAGCACTTTAATTCTCAATTAAAGTCAAACAGGGTTCAATTTGTTCAAAACCCAATACATTTTTTTTTAGAAGAGTAGCAGAAGCATCTATGCAAGAAAAAGAGTTCAAAATGCTTCATTAGTACTTACTCAAAGAGACTACTTCTTGGAAGATATCATGAACCACACTGACTTACTCTCTTCTTCCCTAGTACATTATAGTAATGGAATTAGAGGGGTAGTGATTTTGCTTTCTGTACTGGGGATGTGATATGCAGGAGGTCAATGCTGACAGCTGAGAGTAAGTCTGATGAAATTTTTTAATTTAATTAGACTACAGTTGGTTGACTCAGCTGAACAAAACATGTGACAAAGGAAGCCAAGGCCAAGGTTTCAAGTTTTGAGCACTTTATTAGTTTCTAAGCTATGTTAAAACACTCTCTGCTATAGTCACATTATAAATAAACAGCTTTTGATTTATGGCATTAGCAGAATGACTCTTCTATTTGAAAAAATCATGTTTTCAAGCCAGGTGGAAAAAGCCGTATATCCAAATAACTGCACGTTTGGTTCCAGATCACAGCACTATCTTCTTCCAATCAGCATTTTATCTCTTCAGTTTATCAGTGTTGTTGCTTGTTAGCAGTTTTCTCTTTTATACTGCTGCATTATTCTGTCATATGAATGTTCTACAATCAATCTATTCTGCTGTTAAATGACTAAGTTATTGACAGTTTTTACCTATTACAAAAATACTGCTTTGACTCTTGTACAGACAGACCCCAATGAAGCAAATATCACAAGAAAGTGAGTCAAATTAATTTTTTGGTTTCCCAGTGCACATAAAATTTACACTATCTATACTGTAGTCTATAAGGTCTACAATAGCATCATGTCTAAAAAACAATGTACAGACCTCAATTTAAAAATACTTTATTGCTAAAAAAAATGCTATTCATCATCTGAGCTTTCAGGAAGTCATAATTTTTTTGCTGGGATGTTGATGGTCGCTCCATGTTGATGGTTGATGACTGATCAGCATGGTGGTGGCTGAAGGATGGGGTGGCTGTAGTAATTTTTTAAAGTAAGACAATGAAGTTTGCCACATCAGCAGACTCTTCCTTTTATGAACAGTTTCTCTGTAGCATGTGATGATAGCATTTTACTCAGAGTAAAACATCTCCCAATATTGAGTCAGTCCTCTCAAATCTGGTCATTGCTTTATCAACTAAGTTTATGTCATATTCTAAATCCTTCATTGTCATTTCAACAGTCTTCACAGCATCTTCTCCAGGAGTAGATTCCATCTCAAGAAACTTTCTCTGCTCATCTTTAAGAAACAACTCATCCTCTGTTAGTTTTATCATGAGATTGCAGCAATTCAGTCACAGGCTCCACTTCTATAGAAATTCTAGTTCTGTTGCTATTTCCACCACATCTACAGTTGTTTCCTCCACTGATGTCTTGAACCCCTCAAAATCATCCATGAGGGCTGGGATCAACTTCTTCCAAACTCTTGTTAATGATGACATTTTGACCTCTTCCCATGAGTCATGAATGTTCTTAATGGCATCCAGATTGGCAAATCTTTTCCAGAAGGTTTTCAATTTACTTTGTCCAGATCCATCAGAGGGAATCACCATCTAAGGCAGATTAAGCCTTACATAATAATGTATTTCTTAAATAATAAGACTTGAAAGACAAAATTATTCCTTGCTCCATGTGCTGCAGTACAGACATTGTGTTAGCAGGCATGAGAACATTAATCTCATTGCACAACTTCATCAGAGACCTTGGGTGACGAGGTGTATAGTCAATAAGCAGTAGTAATACGTTGAAAGGAAGCTTTTTTTTCTTCCCCCCCTGGAGCAGTAGGTCTCATCAGTGGGCTTAAAATATTCAGTAAGCTGTGTTGTAAACAGACATGCTGTCATCTTGGCTTGGTTGTTCCATTTCTAGAGCACAGGCAGAATAGATGTAGCACAATCCTAAGGGTCCTAGGATATTCAGATGGTAAATGAGCATTGGCTTCAACTTAAAGTCACCAGCTGCATTAGCCCCTAACAAGAGAGTCAAGCCTGCTCTTTGAAGCTTTGAAGCCCTGCATTGACTTCTCCCTACTGGCATCTTCTTCCAATAGAAGGCTGTTTCATCTATGTTGAAAATTTCTTGTTTAGTGTAGCCACCTTCATTAATGACCTTAGTTAGACCTTCTGCATAACTTGCTGTAGCTTCTACATCAGCTCCTGCTGCCTCATCTCGCACTTTTCTGTTACAGAGACAGCCTCTTAAAGCTCATGAACCAACCTCTGCTAGCTTCCAACTTTTCTTCTGCAGCTTCCCCGCCTGTCTCAGCCTTCATAGAATTGAACAGAGTTAAGGCCCTTGCTCTGGATCAGGCTTTGGCTTAAGGAGTGTTGTGGCTCAGTTGATCTCCCCTCAGGACCACTCAAACTTTCTCCATGTCTGCAATGAGGCTATTTTGCTTTCTTATTTGTCATGTGTTCCGTGGAGTAGTACTTCTAGTTTCCTTCAAGAACTTTTTCTTTGCATTCACAATGTGGTTAATTGTTTGGCACAAGAGGCCTAGCTTTTGGGCTATCTCGCTTTGACATGCCTTCCTCACTAAGCTTAATCATTTTAAAGTTTTGATTTAAAGTGAGAGACATATGACTCTTCTTTTTACTTTTTACTTGGACACTTAGCAGCCACTGTAGGGTTATTATCTGGCTTAATTTCAATACTGTTGGGAGGCCCAATGAGAGGGAGAGAGTTGGGGGAATAGCCAGTTTGTGGAACAGTCAGAACAGATGTAAAATTTACTGATTAAGTTCATTTTCTTATATGGGCATGGTTTGCGGAGCCCCAAAATAATAACAATATAAACATCAAAGATCACTGATCACAGATTGCTATAACAAATATAGTAATAGTAAAAAAATTTTAGATGATGAGAGAATTACTAAAATACAGCACAGACAGAAAAGAGCAAATGCTGTTGGAAAAATGGCACCAATAGCATTCATTGCTCAATGCAGGGCAGTCACAAACCTTCAATTTGTAAAAAACACAAGAAGCGAAGCCCAATAAAGTGGAGTGCAATAAAAAGAGGTATACCTGTATGTCATCCACAGGTATTGGAGGGCAAAAATATGAAAAGTAAATACTGAATTGCACATGAAGTCATCAAAAAAGGTGCCTGAACTAATTGAAATTCTAAGAAACAGTTTCTAAATCTTGTCTACCCTCATTTTTACTCTTTTGCTTAAACACTGTAAGTATGTCACAAAGCAATCCTACCTACAGGATGGATTTGTGAAGTATACTCCCAGTTTTAAAATTATGTGGCAAAATCTGTAACTGAAATTATTCTTCTAATAAAAACTTGTTTCTTGGTAATCAGTGACAGAATCAATATTTAAAAGTCAGATGCACATTTTATTAGAAAACCTGTACTCTCTACTGGGGTTGGAGGGCATATTTAAGCAAACTGAGTTAAAAACCTTTTAAAAACCAAATGAACCAATTTTGATACTAATTCTTCATACTTCCTTAATTTGAATCTAGAAATTCTGCAAGTGATTTGAATTAAATAGTAAATTGCAAATAGCAACAAAAGTTGTTTTTAAATACTACTCAAAAAAATTAAGAGTAACTACTGTTCAAATCTTATCAAAGGGTTGGGACGCCTTTGGAGCAAGTACAGTGTTCTCTGGGATACAAAGAGAAGAATACTTGAATTTTAACTTCTTAGAAAAATCTGTTTGGATTTAAAGTAACTATTTTTTCCCCCTGCAGATAATCTTTTTCAGAAATTATAAGCAATGGTATTAGGTAGGTATTTTTCACTCTCCAAAGAGAAAATTTATCATTGCCACATAACACTTTACAGGTGAGGATATATATACACACACACACACACACACACACACAACTTTCTTAAATCAAATTGTATACCTCTTCCTACTTTCTAACATGCATGTTTTTAGCTTGTTTGTTCCATTTTTAAATCACTTCCACATTTCAAGCTTTGAAACTCTTGCTTTCTTTCAAAACCACAACTCATCTTAAAGATATATAGAAAGATCTTTATTTTTTATTACATATTTAATAGGCAATTAAGTTCCTACAGAACTCATCTAAAGTTGCTAAAATGGGAGTAGATATAATGACTATGTGGTATACATGAGCATGAGACACAGTTGGCCATGATTAAAGGAAGAACCCAGTATTAAACAAAGAGCTGTTTTCCCAGACTATGTTAATCTCAATTTTTACATAGTCGAAGGTTTAATACTTGATGAGTTGATTTTGGGGCTGCAAATGAATAATTCACAATTATTCATAATTATAATTTATAAAGTTATCTTTAGCCTTTTCTACTGTAATATCTTCCAGTCATTTTTTAATATTGTAGAGGCCATTTCAACTTTTCTGTGTAGGCCTGGTATTTCTTTATTGACCACACTCAAAGTTTCTTCTCCTTTAATGTATTTTCTTAGCCCCATGCCCTCTAAATGTTTGTTTAATTTTTCTGTGTGTTCTTAATGTAACCTCTAGCATCAATTCTTTGTATCTCAGCTCTGATTCTACTCCAAAATACTTCCCAGAAAGCCCCTTGGCTGGGTGGGGGAGTGGGGGAGAGTCAGAAAGCTCTCTGAAATACACAAAAATTAAAAAATGAACAGCAGAACCACAGAATTAATTAAAGATCATATTATGATATAGTTTGCTTACATATTTGCTTGCAAAAACACTAGGACCTCTAGATATAGCCACCAAATAAGGCCATAATTCCTTTTCATTCTACCATGTCTTATTTTTATGATTCTTCTTTAATCTATTTTAGTTGGCATAATTGCCCTGAAAAAAAAGTTTTAAAAATGTAACTACCCCATGCCTCAAAGGTTAAAGAAAGAAGGAGAGAGGAAGAAGGAGAGAGGGAAAGTGAGGAGAAAGAAGAGGATTAAAGACTTCTTAATACTAAGTTCTATATGAAATATCAAGTTAAGACTATCATTTGTTTTGGCTATTTACTAATATTTTATGTAAGTTACAAGGCAAGTCCCTAAGTTTCCAAAACTAGTTTTTTTATCTATAAAACTGCATATAGGATAAGGTAAGGAATAGTAATTGTCATAGAATATTACTAGCAAGAGAGTTTACATTAACCTAACTAACTCAACAAAAAACAAAATAGGCTCATGGCATATAAAAAGTATTATGCAGATAAATTAAGCTTTAGTCAGGACCAAAACTATAGGAATGTAAGAACCTGGCTGAAATTAGGGTTTGTAGTGCTCTAAGAGCAAGGGATCAGACCCTAGGGTCCTCTTTTTTTCCAAAGTGAATAAAATGAACAAATTTTTCATGAGTATCTACTGAGTGCTTAATATTACAAGAAATACAGAAGAGTCACAATACATTGCCCCTAACCTCTAGGAGTTGTCCAGAGAAAGCCACTGTTGTTGGTTCATGGGAAGTGGGAATGTCCTGATCACCATATATAAAGTGTAAGAGGTTAGAAGGAGCTTCAAATAATATAACAGAGGAGCTTTTGTAGGTTAGAAACTGGGGCACAAGTGATTTGTCTTAGGTTACCACAGGTTGATAGTGACAAAGCAGGTACTAGAATCTCAGTTAAGACTAGTGTAGTAGAGGATGTTCAATGGTGTATGCAACAAAGATATTTTTGAGTCCCACTATATGTTTTTGACAGCATGTAGTAGCATAAGGCTAGAGGAAAACTTTCTACATAGCATTTATCTAGGTTTATAGGAAGCTTTACATGATACTATGCAGTGAAACACTAATTTTATCCAAAGTGAGGTCTTGTCTTTGCCCTTGGCTACTGGAAGGTGATTTCTAAGCCCCTGAATACTGACAGGAGAATCTTCCTTTCTTTGGGGGCTTTGGCTACTGGACAGTCTAAAATTGTGATTTATGAAGGGGTCCCTGGAACATGTCATATCAGTTCTGACCACCCCTAGTGGAAATGGAGACTGAATAAAAACTCGGGACACCAACAGCCTGAGTAAGCTTTCTAACTGAGAATACTCTGTGTATTGCCGCACATCAATGTGCTCAGGGGATAAGGCAGCCAAAGGGTGACAGAAGCTTCACCTTTGGGACCCTTCCAGACCTTGCTCTATCATTGTTCCCTTTGGTTGGTTCTGATTTGTGTCCTTTAGCTGTAATAAAAATGAAATCGTTAAGTAGAGTGTTTTCCTGATTCCTGTGAGTTGTTCTAGCAAATCTCAGTGTGGAGTGGGAACCCCTGAATGTGAAGTCAACTATTTAAAAATGAGAGTGGCTGGGATACCCCTGAACTAACTTGTGGCTGATGTCAAGAGTGAGGACAGTATTAATGAGCACTGTGCCCCCTTAGCTCTGAATGTGGCAATATTTTGAACATAGAAAATTGGAAATTTTTATTAGATTTTTTTTTTAAACACCAGGGAACAAAAAATTCATTAAAAAACCATAAAGGAATTATAAACTTTTTTGATCAACTGGCTACAGACTTCAGTTTTTGCCTCTTTCCTCTCTCTGCTTGCTTTCAAGGGCTCTTTTCTATTCCCAGCAGCATCTTTTACTAAATTTTTAGGTTTTGGGTATTTTCCACATTAGTTTGCTCTTGTTTCTCTGCTCTCTTTCCATAATTTACATCTATACATTAATATGTACATGCCTTCTGCATATTCCCTCTATCTGATTTGCTAGTAAGTTTGTCTTCTTCTGCTAGTCTCAACTTCTATAAGTTTGGTTTTATTTGCTCTACATATTAATTTTTGTCAGTTTTTTACCTTGTTTTCAAGCTCTTTTTGTTATTTGAAAAACAATACATACTGAGTTCCTACAAATACAGACTCTTTAACATAAGTGTAACAAATAATGCATCTGAATGCACAAAAGTAACTAACAAAAAACAGGCATATAGCAGGCACTTAGCAACTAAGTTTCCCTGCGATTTAACTAAATAGTAGGTTAAGATAATACAAATCTTCAGAGCAAGTAAATGTTTCATTTACTAATAATGGCAATTTGCTAACACTCTTAACTTTTTTAAATGGAGAACTGTCATTTCTAGTATCAGTGGAATAATTATATTTCAGTCAAAAAAACTGAAGAAACTTTAAATGATTTACAACAATCCTGTATAAAGAATTTAATTTAATCTGTTAATTCAGGAAAATTTTTGAACAAAAACCAAGTTTCTCAGAGAGTAAACAAACTATGAACAGGCTTAAATTATACCTGGTGAAATAATTCCATGTCTATTTCAGCTTCTGACTTCCATGAGTTTTCATCTGATTGAAATAAAAACAGTGACTTAGTAAAATTTTGAAACATTTTTTTTTACTATATAGATATAACTATTTTTTATAACAAAATTAAACATACAACAATCTCTGTACTTCTGTTTTATGCTTACCAGAAACATTTTCTTGGAAAATAACTTTCGTGCCTTTCAGAAAGTTCTTGCCAATCAAAAATACTTCTTCCTCTCCTTTCACTGAGCAGCTATGTAAGCTTTTCTTTAAGATCTCTGGCACTCCTGCAGGCTGAGCTGTGGGTATAAAAAGAACCATCCAAATAAAAAGAAAAAAAGCCATCCCATAAAAAGAACTACAAACACTTATTTCTTATCTAAAATCAACTCTCAACCATCCAATTCTATAAAATTTGTTGAACCCTGAATTTGATTTCCTGTATTCTGCAATGTAACTTTTACATTAGCAAAGAGAAAAAACAGTAAAGTCCATATTGATTTTTAATAACTTTTAAGATTTTATAGGGATGGCTTAATGTCTGAGGTTTTAATTTGTTTATATCATCTCTGTTTTCTCATTACATAAATACTATGAACATTTTAAAACATCAACTTGGTTATGTTTGTCTCAATATTTAAAAAAAATTCAATTTAAAAACAAGCTTGTCCCACAATCTTAAACAGGGATTAAAATGTCAGCTCTGTTTCTCCATTACAAGAATTCTGAGGCAATGTGTATGTGCCTCTGAGTGGTACCAGGGGCTTCTTTAAGGATCTAGACCCCATACCAAAAGAATACCAGTAAACAAACTGAATCAATTCAAAATAATTCTTTCAAGCAGGGATACCCTGAGGTTAAAAAATAAAATGCACTTGTTTATCTACTACAAAGCCTAACCACTACTAAAGAGGTTGACAAGTACTGAGGAGGCAGGTCTAATGAATAAACTATAACCAGCCTACCAATCTCCTCAAGCCAGGATTTCCTTAAGAAAATTTAATAGGTATTGCTTAGCAAAACAGGTTTCAAAGTCAAGTAAATCTGGGAAGTATTGGGTTAAGCAAAGCTAAAAGAAGAAAAGGATTTTTCCAAGCTATTTCATATTATGATGTACACTGTAAATATCCAAGAAACAGGCATAGTAAACAATTTCCCCCACATATTTAACTCTAGAAACATTCTTCCTTATTGACACCTACGAACTAGTTTTCTACCAGAATCTTCTCTGGAATACTGGTGTATGCAAATAAATACCTTTTCAGGACTCAAAAGTCTGTTCCCCTTACGGTTAAGAACTTTGACATAGATTACAGTATTTGTTATTTTAGTACGCCCTACGAAAATATGTACTTCAAAGGTAACCTTACATATGGCTTATACAATTCATCAACTTCTAAATTAATGAGATATTCCAGTAAACTTCAGGAAAAGCTTTTTTTTCTTAGATACTTATATATTTAACAGTTAATTTTATCTTTACAAAAATGTAAATATATGGGAATCTGTAATTGTCAAAAAAGCCACTGTCCTTGTTTCCTTAGACCCTTCCTTGTGGAAAGGCTGTAGTTTTTGCTTCTACTCACATCAAGACTGTCCATGTGGTTTGTTTGGATAATGAAATGTGAACTGAAGTAATGTACAGTTCCAAACAAAAGCTTTAATAAAAAGCCTCACATGGTTCCACCATGTTTTTCCTCCACTACAAAAATGGCAATCAATATCCCAGATGAGGGTAGCTTCTGCAGCCTGATCCCAGAGTGAAGGGAATGGACCTGCTTTCAACCCCCAGCTAACACTATCATAAACTGAGGGAGAAGTAAAACTTTGTTCTTGTGAGCGACTGAGTTTTTTTTTCCCAGTTGGTTGTTACTGTGGCAATTTTTAGTGATACTCAATAAGTGATGCATAGTGATACAAACAAGTATCCTATCCTTATTAAATATTTAAATGGAAAATGACATTGTCAGCAATCTAAAGAGTTTAAAACATACTGTGAATGTATACACATATACACTGTCTAGAACCCACAGGGTTAATGTATGAACAGAATGGAAGCAGTTATTGATCATATATTGGCAATTACATACCTTTTAAAATGAAGAATTACCTGAACTAATTTATAACTTTTGGATTAACATTGGAACCAGATACTTGTTTTCTAAGGATAGTCAAGAAAAATATGGTATACGTTACTTTGATTAGAAAACAATGAGGTGTAAAAATACTGTATTAACAAAAGGAATGGAAAGTCTATAACCTTTCCCTCCACTTTAAAATACCATGTGGAAATTCCACTTCAGTGATGACTATCAAAACTTTTTTTTCCTACCTCATTTTTTCCTTCCCTGTATTAAAGACATAAAACAGCCAAATGAGGCCCCTCTGGAGTTATAATGTGTATCTTCTATATATTTGAATTTACACTACACAAAGAACTAGTCTATTATTGTTCAAGATAATTTAACTTTTAATTTTTGGCCTTAAAAGGTCTTTTCCATTAAAAAGTTTAATGGAAACCTATTAGGTCACCTAATAGGACAGACACCATACTAAATAGCACTAAAGTCAGGATTATTTAAGCATTAACTGCTTTATATTTATCTTTAAGTAATTAGCAAGCTTACTCTTGACAATGATCACACTGCTTAAAAATTGTAACACAAGAAAAGCAGTCACCTTTCTGGTACTGTAAAGAAAACTTGCTTTGAGATGCTTTTCAAATAACAGCCTCAAAAACAAAGCTGAAAAAAAAATGCAACAATATCTGAACACTGAAAAACAATAAAGGAAATAATATTTCAGCCTGTCAAAAGAATTAGTAAAGCTTTTTAATAACGTCTGTGAGGAGAAGGAAAATTTACACAATGGTATTATCCTTTTCCTACAGTTGTGGAGTAGACAGAAATAAGGGGAGTAGAAACTTGTTAAATTCAGTCAGACTTAGTATAATAAAATAAAATCTAATATATATTATATTGAAGAAAGCTATGATTAATTTTGCCATACTAAAAAAATTACTATGAGGGTAGATACTAAAAAAGTAGGAAAACTGATATTCTTAATATAGGATTAGTATAATCAAATATAAATAATACACCAAAACAAAAACATCCTGTACTGTCTGGAGAAATCTAAAGATGACAAGAATGTAAAAGGGGATGATTCCTCCATCTCCTTAAAAAAAAAAAGGACAGACAATGGATCCAGTGGCCATTGTTAAAACAAGTAGAAGCAGGACTTTTTAAAAATGTCACAAGGCACAATATGAATTCTGGCAGTAGGCCTTCTTTCCACTGTCTCTAGATGGATGATGAAGTGTGTTTCCTCTCCTCCCTTCCACCTCTATCACCTTTTGGCCCCTCTTCCTTTCCTACCTCCCTCTCATCTTCCTGTTTCCTTCTACCTCCCATTTCAATTCTAACCCTTTTTACTAACCTATTTCCTTTTCACCTCTCATTCTACTTCAACTACTCAAACCTGCCAAAAAGGCCACACTCATGGAAATAAACAGAAACCAGAACCCCACAATGGAACAAACATTCTTACTTTTTTTTTTTCAAACATTCTTACTTTTAATTTTTTAAATAAAAAGAAATTTGGGTCCTTTTTTTCACTGTGTGCTATTTATATGATTACTTTTCCTCTCCCCTCATACCCACCACTCCAAAGCCTGAGTTCCAGCCTCAAGCTCCTTAAAGTGGCCAGGATAAAATTCAAATTCTTTAGCTCAACACATATCTCTTTAGGAATGAGATCTTGCCTAGCTCTACTAGCCTCAAATCTTACCACTTTTTTATAGCTATCTTTTTGTTCCAATCACATCAAACTTTTTCATTCCCTTAAAAGAAGCACAACTTGAGGGGGGGGAATCTAGTAACCACAGTGTTGCTCATGTGATTGTATATTAACGATACCATTAAAAAAAAAAGCACAACCTTTCAAGGAGTATATTTATACACTGCTCCCTCTGCCTAGAATGACCTTCATCTGAACCACATTTGGCCTCGTTTCCTTCTATTTGTCCTTGAAGACACAGCACAAGCTTTACCATCTCTAAGCAGTCTGGATTTCTATGTTCCATCTAACCCTATTCAAACATCTAAAATAGACTTTATATAATTTTATAATAGGTAGTCTACTTCTCTGTTTTTTCCTCCCTAACCTGCTAGACTATAGGTTTCTTAAGCTACCATGTCTTTGTTTCCAGAGCTGAACACATGGTAATATCCATTTCATTAATTATGAAGCTTTCTCAAAATATTCCTAAGAACACTTTAGAGATTTTGATTAAGTAGCATGTCTTTTTTTTTAATGCACCACAGAATATTCTAACAGACAGCCAAGATTAAGAAGCACTGCATTTATATTGGAAGGCAGAATGTGTATGTGCCTCTGAGTGGTACCAGGGGCTTCTTTAAGGATCTAGACCCCATACCAAAAGAATACCAGTAAACAAACTGAATCAATTCAAAATAATTCTTTCAAGCAGGGATACCCTGAGGTTAAAAAATAAAATGCACTTGTTTATCTACTACAAAGCCTAACCACTACTAAAGAGGTTGACAAGTACTGAGGAGGCAGGTCTAATGAATAAACTATAACCAGCCTACCAATCTCCTCAAGCCAGGATTTCCTTAAGAAAATTTAATAGGTATTGCTTAGCAAAACAGGTTTCAAAGTCAAGTAAATCTGGGAAGTATTGGGTTAAGCAAAGCTAAAAGAAGAAAAGGATTTTTCCAAGCTATTTCATATTATGATGTACACTGTAAATATCCAAGAAACAGGCATAGTAAACAATTTCCCCCACATATTTAACTCTAGAAACATTCTTCCTTATTGACACCTACGAACTAGTTTTCTACCAGAATCTTCTCTGGAATACTGGTGTATGCAAATAAATACCTTTTCAGGACTCAAAAGTCTGTTCCCCTTACGGTTAAGAACTTTGACATAGATTACAGTATTTGTTATTTTAGTACGCCCTACGAAAATATGTACTTCAAAGGTAACCTTACATATGGCTTATACAATTCATCAACTTCTAAATTAATGAGATATTCCAGTAAACTTCAGGAAAAGCTTTTTTTTCTTAGATACTTATATATTTAACAGTTAATTTTATCTTTACAAAAATGTAAATATATGGGAATCTGTAATTGTCAAAAAAGCCACTGTCCTTGTTTCCTTAGACCCTTCCTTGTGGAAAGGCTGTAGTTTTTGCTTCTACTCACATCAAGACTGTCCATGTGGTTTGTTTGGATAATGAAATGTGAACTGAAGTAATGTACAGTTCCAA